CATAAGCAGGAAGCTGGATTGGATGTGGAGCAGTTGAGACCAGAACTGGTGCCCATACGGGATGCCAGTGCCACAAGCAGAGTATTAGCCTGTAATGTTACCATGCCACCACTGAGGTCAATTTTTATAAATATTCTGCATGTACATATTTGGGAGTGCAAGGATTAAGCTTAATGGTGGTGGTTGGTGTTCAAATCTTCCATAACCAAATCTTGCTTTATTAACTTGAGAATGGTATGTCCAAATCTCCTATTATGAGGATAAAGTTACCATTTCTTCCTTGTGATAAATAAGCACTAGAATATAAGGCTATATATAATATAGTGCCCATTACTAATGAGTTGACTAAATTCAACGTGTGAAGTTTTGTAGCCTCAGGAGACAGGAATTCTCCATAGACCCAGAGGAACACTCCTGAGGAGGGCAAAAGCAATTGCTGAGCGTGTCTGTTGTGATGCCATGATGGTAAACAAACCCACCCCTATGAATTGGTATGTCCAAGTTCAGAAAAAGGCTGTTAACATGAGTGTCCATAGTTCCCAGGTGAGTGACTAAAGGGGGTGTGAAGTTTGGCCAAAAGAGAAAAATCTGTTTGATTTTCACCTCCCACAGTAGCCTAATCTACCCTAGCAATTTAAGTATGTCTACTGAGAAAGTGATGATGTTGAGTTCTTAGGTTTCTGAAGATACAAGGAGAGGTGAATGGCAGAAAATTAACTGTCTTGACAAGATTTCCCTTGTGCCTCATTCATGGAGCTGGTTCAAGGAGGCAATCTTGGCACTGACAACTGGCTAGCTCTCCTCTGTCACAGGACTCTAACCTCACTTGAGCAAAATGCTGCTTCAGCCCTTCACACTGTTCCTGTGATGTGGGCACGCCCAGTGTCAGGGGCGGAGGATGAGTAGTGCTTGACCCCAAACCATTGCAGTCACTAATTCTGGAAAGAGGAAGATATGGGAGTGTGGTTTGTAAAAGTCTATTCAATGCTATACTCCAATCTTTGGCAGCAAAATCGCTCTTGCAACGCAGATTGGTCCACTACGAGGTGTGCCAAGTAGAACTGAGCTTCCTAGAGGTAAGAGGAGAAGTCTTGGAAAACCAAGCAGATTATTCCTGTTTGATTCATGCTGAGGAGATTGCACTAAGGCAGCAAGTTGAGAAGTGACATGATTTGTGTCTTTTCTAGGTTTCTTTGCATGTGTGTTGGAGAAAGAACTGGAAGGAAACAAGACAGGATGCTGGCATTCAGCTCCACAGATAATGACTCCTGGGCAGGGACTCCCACCTCAGGGAGGAGGTGAAGTTGGTGGTTTGGATAAAGAAATACACTTGGACTTCTCAGTTAGGGAATGGGGGAGCTAAAGAGGCTCCAGTTAGAATCCTAGGTTATGAACTTGGGCAACTGGTAAAGAGGGTGGTACCAGGCTAGGAGAGGGGATACTGGAAACAGCACTGGGGTCCATGGAGGGAACAAAACAGATGTTTCATCTATGAGTCCTCTTTCCCCAACTCTACAAGATTGCCAGAAGGTTCTGGAAGGGGTTGACAGGCTCAGGTCCTGCTGCTCCCTCCCTCCCTCTGCCCCCACAGGCTGCTCTGCACCCCACATCCTTCCTCCACACAGCTGGGGTTGATGACCCCCCACTTCCCACAGGAAGTCCCAATGAGAACAGCACCCCTGCAGCCTGCGGGTGGAATGTCATGTCATTGTAACAAGGACACCAAACACAGAGACTCATCAAGATATACTTTTTTATTATGCACAGATAAAAGACTTAAAATGGTGATTATCAAAATTATACATCTAAGCATGTTCACAAAATTGCCGACACATTGAACAGAGGAAAGAATACAACAGGGGTGTTCAAACTGGCCACAGGGATTTTTAAGGGCATTCTTTTTACCCTCCTAGAAAATGAACAACAGCAACAAAATCAGGCTCATTCAGGAAAAACCAGAAGAGAGAAGCATTGTATTTGGAAACTGATAATAGTCCTTTATAGCAAAACATCTGTCAGTTTCATGAACAACCCCTAGATAAACAGAAAAAAAAATTACATACTCAACTCACCCAACAAAATGTGCTCTGTTAACACACCCAGCAGTACAATCACCATTCAAACCATGAGGTAGTTACAGTACGAAGACTGGCACGCGTGTGCACAGCCCACATGCACTCACAATCATGCCTGCTAAGAACACACAGGAAAAGGTTTTGCAGTTTTTATGAGCCAAGGAAAAAACTATTTTCTGTTTAGAAAAATGTTTTAGGAACAGACAGAAGCAATCTCTATAACTTTTGCAAACATAGTAACATCTGGCTCTGGCAAACAGAACCTGATGAAAAGCTACAGGTTATGACATGGACAATCTGCTTTTGGAGTGGATAGTTTTAGCATCAAATAAAACAGCAATAATGGCTTCTGCAAATGAAAGGTGTATGCTGTAGAAGTGACAAGGATTTCAGGAAACGAATAGTTCACTGGGATTATACCTGTTACAGACACTTGTAGAACATGTTATAAAAGTACAGCTTGTCCTTTATATTAAAACCGTGAAGTATGAAGCAATCAGAAATGCTGTAACAAGAAGCTAGGGAGAAGTCATCCTACATTTTAATGTTCGGTTTTCAGAAATAGTTCACAACACTTATTCTCCAGTATGGGATCATGTTTTATCAATGCAGATTTCTGGATTTGAGAAATACTTCTGCTAATGAGATCCAAGCAAATAAAAGGTCACTTTTACCACTCTCTCTCTTTTAAAAATCTTTTGGTTTGCATCTATAAATTTGTAAATTAATTTAAAATTATTTATAAAGTTGGTAATGTAGCATCTCTTAAAAATATACATTTAAATATATTACAAAAGTTTTTAACCCTGCCCATCTAAGAAATGAATCTTTTTAATACCTAATAGTTAATTTTTTAAACAAGATGAAAAGGGGTTTTTTTTTAAAGCAAAGAACTGATCCAAGGATTTCACAGTAACTGAAATTAAACATTTCATATGGAGTAACTTAAATTTATCTAGAACAGTTAAATATATCTTTATACACAAATTTTTGTAGTAAAATATAGCTATAAGTGACTTAAAGACTCTAGTCTTCTCTGAAGACATCTTTAAACTTTTTTATACATAGAATATGCTCAAACAATACATTCTGCTGAAGGTTAGGCAAAGCGCATTATTCTCAAACACAGGTAGCATAATCCAGGTCCTCCACTCTGACACTTCTACATTAGCAAAATGAGTTAAAGGGAGAGACTGTCTAACCTCATCTCTTCCTTATTTATTTGTGATCATTTGGAAAAAATTCAATACATCAATTCAGAGAGCCTAGACATTTCAGTCCTAAAATCATCAGTTTGGCTAAAATTATCCTGATTCAATGTCTATATCCATCAGGTCAATCAAATTATTACTTAATCTGGGTTATAATTCTTACTCAATGTCTGTCAGTCTCCATTTACTCATTTGCTATGTAGACACGGCTCTCAGGTTTTGAATTCCATCAACATTTCCTCCTTAAGGCTCCATTCACACCATCTTTATATTCAGGGCAATGAATTTTGATATGAATTTTATAAGGGTAGAATCTAAATTGTTACACTTATAGAATTTAGGGGGCATGCTGAAAAAATAATACATAATGTGTAATGAAGTTATCTTTCAACAATTAATGATCAGGCATGTAATATTCTCTCTGGTGTTTTTTTTTAACATAAATATTATCAGTGAGCTTAATTTAGCTGCAAAGTGGCATCATTTAATCAAAGTCACCACAAATCCTTTTGGAGTTTGGGATATGTAGTTAAGGTGAGAGAATGAACGAATCCCTCTGAGTGCTTTTTCGCAGGCCTCAGCACCATCTGGGCAGAAGTGGCGATGCTGTTCACATGAGTGACAACATAGGGAGACCTGGCATGCATCTGCAACTCACACCAGCTTGGTTTTTTACCAAATGGCCTATTAAAAAGTTGGACATGCCTGGAGTAGAAACACTCATATTTTACCAAATACAACTTAGTAAGTTCCGACTAGAAGTATAGGACATTTTCAAGTGGGAAACTTTCTCTTCTTCCACTGAAAACACAAATGTGCTGAGTATGACATACTATATATTCGTACTTGCATACATATATCACTGTGCAAATTCCTCCTTACCCCTAGAATTGAATTTTTCCCCCAATGTAAGCACGATGTTATTCACTACAAATCTGTACTTTTCGATTTGGACCATTTTCAATTTCTATATACCTAGAAGGAATATAAAGCTTGCATTAAGACATTTTTTTGTTGGCAGTCGGTGTGTGCGAGTATGGGGAGGATTTAGGGAGCTGCCAGAGTCATCAGCACTGGTTTTGGCCCAGGGCACAAGAAAGGAATGTCACCCTGATGTGTGGCAGATGCAGTCCCCAGGGGCAGCAGCAGCAAGCCAACACATCCATCCCCACGGGGGGGTAGAGTCAGAAGCGAGCAGCCAGATGCGGTGTCAACCAGACAAGGAGGAACATTCCAGAAAGTCTTGAAGCATTTCCGGTGCTTTCCATCCTGACTGAGATAGGATAGACTCTTTTGGCGGCACTGTCTCGCTGGTTCTACTGTCTGTCTCTTCCCTTTTACCCTTGTACCCTTTTACTGGGTACAACTCGAGGGCTCCAAATTATGGATGTTCTCACCTGGACAAAGCAGCATCTTCAAAACTGGCATGTGTTTCACATTGAACCCCATCCCCCACCCTGTTGCCCGGCCTGGGAGGGACTAGGGGAGCAGACTATCACCTTAGCTTCCTCATACACGATTCTAGTGTGTTATACATAAGCCCAGGGGCCATGTTTCTATTGACCGTGCAGTGGGAGTGGAGGGGTGCAAATGCAAAAGGTGATCTTTATACTGAAATCCCCTCACACTTTACAAGGGAACCAGAACCAAGCCTGCTGAATCTGACCACGATGTCCTGCGAGCCTTGCTGTTGGTGGGCAGTGGCTGGGCTGGGCTAGGCGGTGCTGCTGGAGCATGGGGTGCTCTGGGTGCTGCCGATACTGTGGGCCGCGCTGCTGTTCTCTGAGGCTGGCGGCGACGTGGGGACCTGCTGCCTGCCTGCTGTCTCTCCTGCAGGTCAGGAAAGGATGGAAAACAAGATGCACGTTATTGGTGTGTGATGCTTAAGAAACCAAACCCTCCCTGCCCCTCCTCCACCCCTGCTGCCATTTATCCTGTGCTGCGCTAAGCCACAGACAGAAGCAGCTTGCCCTGTCCCAGATAGTAGACCATATGCCAAGCTCTCAGGCTTTCGTGCATGGTTGCTTTGTTCAGAGAGCCTCACGCAGGAAGAGGAAGATGCCCTGGATTTCTGGTAAAACATCTGGACCACAGGAAGCCGCTGGTCAGCACCTACACTGGGACCATTTCATGGAAGGGGTTCAAGCCAAGATTTTTAAACTGAGGTTGGAGAGGGCCTTTATCAGAACACACTTGTTAAAAACCCAAGACGATTCTGGCTGGCTGGGTTTGGCTCCAGCTTCAGCACAGTGTCTCCATTTAAGTAAGGGAGATGGGGCAGGCTGCTGCAGGAAGAGCCTTTTTGGGGAAAGGGTCTGGTCGCTCATACTTGGGGTCCCTGGGTTGGCAGCCAGCACTGGCCCTGCACGCTGAGGCTCTGTGTGGAGGGCAGCAATGCATGCTTTCCATCCTGGCTGCGGCACTGCTGCGGGGCCCACTGGCTTCAAACAGGTCCAGAACCTCAGGTCACACACATGGTTTGCATTTCACAGCGCAAAAGCCCTGGAGTCAAGTCTTCTCGCCAGCAAACCTGGCCACAGCACAGGCTTTGAGAAATAGTGCCAGGCAGGGGGAAGTGATGGGGGCTCTCTTGCTGAAAACACTGCTTTTTTTTTTTTGGAAAAGGCAAGGCCAAGGCCGCACCAATGGCTAAGAAGCTGTCTCCCCTTGTACCCCCGGGTGCAGCAGCCCTGGAGGGCTAGGTCTGTGGAGGGCAGAGACCCCTCCTTCCTGCCCCCAGGAGACACACTTCCCTCTGCCTTGAGAAGTGATCTCTGCAGCAGCTTTAACACCCAAGTGAGCCAGCGTTCTGCCCTCCAAGATGAGAAACTGGAGTGGAGAATTCCATTCCCTTCCTGGGGCCCCTCAGAAGCGTCTGCCAATAGAGCAGTTCTGCAGATCATCCACGTGGCTCCTGGCCTGGGGGAGCTGCCCACTGCCTTCCCTGTTCTCACTACCAGAACTGCATCGCTGCTATACTGGCTGCCAACTCCAGCCCCCTCTGCCCTCTGTTCTGGGATCCCCAGAAGGGGCAGAGGACACTGTCACTCTCTCTCTGTTTCCCAGCACAGCCCCCTTGGCTTCATGTATGCCTGCATGAAGGGTGGAGAAGGCTACCCCAAAACCAGCTGTTTCCTGCCCCCAAATTAACTCAGCCTCCCTCCCCTGCCTCCTGCTGACAGCCTGCCCACCCCTCTCTCCTGGCCCCAACTGGGAGCTTTATTTCTAGAATGGAATCAAATCTCTTAACCATTTTGATGTCCGCAAAGCCCAACTCTGGAGACCTTGAACAGTTCTCTGGCTTGGAGAATTCTGCCTCCTTACCAGCCACAGGTGAATCCACACCCAGTGGAAGTTTCAACTAGAAACACTAATGTGGCTCACCATGAACCACATTCACAAAACCTCTTTTCCATTTCACAAAGGATACATCACTCAAAACACCACTCTTGCGCTTCTGCCTGGCCTGGGCCAGAGAAGGCCTTGCCTCTCCCAGCGGCAGGGAGCAAACCCATCTGCTCCAGACCCTGACATGTGTCTGATGGTTCACGTTCAGGACAAGTGCCTATGCTATGCCCTGCCCAGGAAGTCTCTGAATATTGGCCTTCCGGTGTCTAGTTGCCAAATACAACTTGTTGCCATGTCAGTTTATTTTCATCAGGGCCTGTAAGGGAAGGTCTTTCAACTTGCACAGTTTTGGAAACTCACATCCCAGTAATGGAAAACATTGTTCAAAAGAAAAACCTCAGGGCCTGGTGCAATGGTTTCATTCACTAATCCTCTGCCTTGCAAGCACTGGGATCCCATATGGGCACTCATTTGTGTCCCGGCTGTTCTACTTTCCATCCAGCTCCCTCCTTGTGGCCTGGGAAAGCAGTGGAGGATGGCTCAAGGCCTTGGGACCCTGCACCCAGACAGGAGATCTGGAGGAGGCTCTTGGCTTTGGATCAGCTCAGCTCTGGCTTTTGGGGTCATTTGGGGAGTGGGAGTGAATCAGTAGATAGATCTTTGTCTCTCCTCTCTGCCTTTCCCATAAAAATAAATAAATCTTGAAAAGAAAAGAAGTCCTCAGCAGAACAGGGGCCCCTAACACTCCAGACTGCAGGACACAGGTGGCTTGCAGGTGCCAAGGACATCTCTGCCCAAGCCTCGGCTTGGCAGCACTGATACCCCTTCTGTGTTCCACCCCTGAAACCCCTAGGGTTAATTTCACATGAGCCACCAGAGTTTTCAATATAACCAACCTTGTAAAAACTTGTAGCTTTTGATAAAATTAAGAAAAAAAATCTTCTCATCAGACAAAAGTGGGGTTATAGAAAAATCCACTTACTCCTGGCTCGTGACTCTAGATTGCTGCTAACAGGGATCCTAGGAGACAGTTGTAACAGCTCGTGTTCCTGTCACGTGGAAGACCTGGACTATGTTTCTGGCTCCCAGCTTTAGCCCGGCCTAGTCCTGGCTATTGTAGACATTATCAACAACAGTAATAATTATAAGCAACAGTAATAAAACACTAGAAGCTGGTAAGGAAGTGAGTGAATGACAGCCAACTCCAGAGAGCTGAGAGCCAAGCCAGCTAGTGGGAAAAGCTGAGAAAGCACCCAAATTATGTCACAGAGCCCACAACAACTCAGGAAATGGTGGTATTGGGTACATCTGAGAGAGAGGGTGAGGCCAGGGCTGTACGCAGTGGGGATGGCTGAGCTCACATCCAAAAAGTAGGCAGATTTCTCTAAATCGTCTCTTTCACATCAGGGGGCAGGGATCCTTCCCTTTCACAGCTAGGAGGAAAACAGGAAGTTGAATCTTGGAAGAGTTGGGGAAGCAAAGGTTCAGGAATGCCACTGCCAGCACAGCTAGAGGCAAGAGAAGGGTGAATTGCTACACGCCCTGGTGACCAGCGCTTCAGGTGTTCAATCTAGCAGTGCCTAAAGCAACCTGGCCTTGGTCTCCTAGCAGCAGGGGCAAGTCTGTGTCCTTGTTCCGGACAAGTGCCAACACCCTGCCCCACCCTGCCTAGGAAGTCTCTGAATATTTGCTTTCCGGTGTCTAATTGCCAAATACAATTTGTTGCCATGTCAGTTTATTTTCATCAGTGTCCATAGCCAGATGCACACTTTCAAGGTAGGAAAAGAGGAAAACCTGTTTTATACAAAACTTGAGGACTTAAAAAGATGTATCTTCCGGGGGTGCATCAACACATGATCCCCTCAAGTCACCTTCGGGAAGTTTATAACCAGTATGCTCCCTCCACAAGGTCAAAACTTCCACTCTTTGAATAAGCTTACATTAATATTCCCAGATAGGGAATTAATATTCCTGTATCCACAAGGAAAGAACAGCTTTTTTCCCCTTTTACTTAATAAGAAAATAGGAAAAATTCTTGGAATTCAAAAATTTGAGGTAGCCTTAAAAACCTTGAAGCCAGAAGAAAATTAAGCTAACTGGATCGGCTTGGTGGAGTGGGAAGGAGTGTGTTAAGAAGGCAGCTATTAATCAAAAGTAATGCAGGAAAAATACCAGTAATACTATACTACATGGCTAAGCTGTGGTTATTAGCATTGAGGTAGGCATAACAATATAAACAGTAAATGCAGATCTGTCCAAAATTTCAGTATAATTCTGTTGGGAGGTTGGGGGAAGGGGCCAGGAAGGGTACGGAGGGGTGAGAGAGCTAAGTCTTCTTTTCCCACAGTCAGAGGTCAACCGCTGAATTCTCCAACTAACAAGTCAAGAGGCAGCAGTAAACTGTTACTCCGAGATGTGGAAAATGCTCCCCCCTCCCCTCGCCCGACCCCACCCCATCTGGTAAAAGTCAGAAATGCTGATCTGGTGAGGGAGGAGAGAGGGTGGAGCCACAGGGATCTGATTGTTCCGGAGTTATTTCAGTCTTTACTGGTATGTGCGTGCTGCTTTCATAATGAAAACATTATACTAGTAAAGCTTTCCCCCTAACCTCAAGGAAACAATTAGTATAATTTTGCATGTGACTCTGCGGACCTGCAGGGACTAGGGGTGCAGGACCCCTGAATGAGCGAGGTCCCATCATGATGTGTCTACGGCTGTTTTCCAATCACAGCCACACCTCCTTTCTGCACAGCAGGGGACAGGGGCTGTTGAGGAACGCAGGCTTCCTGACAGAATTTGTTTTGCTTTCAGTAAATATCTCTTACTGTGCGCAGAGGTGTTATAGGATAAAGTAGAACCTCACCCTTTCTACATTAACACATGTTCCAGGTACTAGGCCAGTATCCACTATTCAGTGATGTGACTTGGTTTTAAGTACTATGCTGAAGGTATACCCAAAGGAAAGGCATGCAAAGGAAGGACTGTTTTTGACCTATAAGTGAATGTTACCTGTACCTTTAAATGTCCCACATATGGGTTAAGTTCCTCAACTGTAGTCATCATGAGAACTGAATGGGCTACGTCAGGGTTTGTACACCCCACCTCTCCCCATGATTGGCTTCCCTTTCAGTCTAAACTTGCTGCTGCTGTCCCTGGTTTGGGGCTAGACAAGAAACTACCATTTGGTCTTGAAGTGAATCTTCTCTGTGCCTATATGATGCTGCTGATTGTTCTTTACGAACAGCAAGTATACTAAACCAGATGGTACAGCTTTTAATAACCTGTGATTCTAGAGCTGTTCCTCCACTAATGCCAACTGACTTTGGAGCTCAAACAATAGGGTTCAAATTGGCCTAATATATTTGGCTGGAGAGCACTGCAGGAGGGCCTTTTGGCTTTGCTGTTCTTTAACTTATTTACAAGCCTATGTCCTTGTTCTCATTCCTTAAGAATCCACTGCTGGGATTTCTGGCTTGAAAGAAAGGTCACTGGCTACAGCAAGCCTCTGAACCTTGCCATTAGCAGTCCATGCCACACAGCCTGGCTGTAGTTGGGTCAAGTTTGTGTACTTGGCTAGGCACAGGAGTCTGGCATTGTCAGGAGAGTTCAGTGAGGTGTGTGCCAGGAAGTGCCAATTGGTTATTTTGTATTTGGTCTGGATCTGTCTTTGTGGCCCAAGCCTAGCTTGGCTCTATGATCTAGGCTCCTGCTCTATGATCAAAGCTTGCCAGTGGCTGAGCAGGCATACAGTCAGCAATTGTGGGTGACAGACTCTTATAAAATCCTCGGGTCCAACACGGTCTTCTTGGAGAACTTTCCAGTTTATTCCCAATAGACAACATGGGCTGCCAACAGCCCCAGAACTTCTCAGCCACACAAGAGGTTGGAAAAAGTTACAAAGAACAGTTAGTTTGAGATCTGGATGTGTCAATAGTTCCATGACAAAATTATTTACTCTGTTAAAAGCTCTCCCTTCTAGGTCCTTTATAAACTGGCCATGAGGAAGAATATTCTTACTGAATATCCAGAATTTTACATTCTCTCTCTCTCTCACACACACACACACATTTTGCTCATTGCTGCAAACTATAATCTGAGGACTTGAAGCCCCATTATTAAACTGGCCTGAACTTTTACTAAGAGGTCAGCTTTGGATTGGACCAATTTCCCATGTTGGGTCCAGCTGTTCTGTTCCTCTCCATAACCTGAAACACCTCAGAGCTAAGGGATACAGCATTTTTAGTAGAAAATCTGATGAAAAAGGGTTGGAATCAAGAAGATTAAGATATGACTCCTCATGATGTCACTCCATGCTCCTCGTAAAATTGGTCATTTTTTTCTCATCTGGCCCAGTTGGTATATACTAGTCTAATGGAAAATGAATACAGAGCTAAACAAAAGATGCTAGGCCTGTCACTTGCCTCTGACTCATTAATCTAACACAATCCACCCAGATTCATTGTATAAACTACAAGTATCTAAAAGCAAACAAGGGCAGCAAGCTCTCCAGACATGCCTCAAAACGCATGTCGTTCCTTCCCAAATTTGTAAGGAAGCTATGAAAGAAGCAACAGACGGGTTCTTGTTGAACCCCAGGCTCCCCTTGCTGGCCTACATTCTGTAAGGGGCTCAGCTATGTTCTCTGCTCAGACCAGGGCATTTCAACCTAGGGGAAATGTAGGGAGGAGAGGGAAAAGCATACCAGGATTCTGGGGCCTGAAGGAGTGTGGCTTAACAATGAAGTGCATTGATTCATTTTCAAACTATCCTTTGAAACTTTAAACAGAAAGATATGAGAATTTTATCCAATAAGACACAGAATGGGATTAAAAATGATGAACAAGTTCTGGATTCAGTCATTGATGGGAGACTCCCACGGACAGTGCTCCTCAGGTCGGCAGTCATGGTAGTCAAAGCCTGGTGTTCTACCTCACCCGTGTCCGTTTATGCATGCACGCTGAAGTCTTTGGTATTGAAGGAATGGTTTTCGACTTCCAGTTTGCCTACACTGACTCTTTCCAGCTACAGGTTCACAGCTTCTTTATTGGAATCTATAATTCCCAACATCGCAGCTACAATGGGCACTAAGAGTTCAAAAATTTCTTTTCTACTCCTGCTTGAAGCAAATCATATTTTTGGCAAGATTCAACTTGTATCAAATCAGTGTGAAAGTTGAGAGAATGAACATTCTCTTTTATCTATCATTCACCCCGTGAAACACTGATTGTTAAGTGGCAGGCATTCCAGATGTGTACCAATGAATAGCATTCACCTGTCACACTCACCTGTGTGAGAATAGATGTACCACAAGGCCCCAGTCAGGAGAGCTCCAATCACAAATGCTGCGAAGGCAATGCCCATCACGGTGAGGGTGTCCAGCCCATGGAAGATGGCTACAAAGGAGGGAACCAACACACACACTTGGACGTTAGTCTGCATCGCACACTGCAGTGTCCTGTTTGTTTTACATGCACTGTCCTAAAGGCTGAGCCCTGACTAATAAAATCTGAGAATGTGGTAAAAATCTGAATAAAATGTATTTTATTGAAGAGACATGTGGGGCAGAGGCACAGATGCCTCTAGGGATACCTGCAGCCCCTACAGGAGGGCTGGAATTTTGGTCCTGCCCTGCTAGTGCATCTCCTGACAGGCAGCCCGGTGATGCAGCCTGGTGATGCAGTCGAGTCCCTGCTCCCCTCATGGGAGACCCAGAGTGAGATCGCTACTCGTGGCAGCCACTTAGGCCAGCCTTGTCAGTTGTGCCATTTGGGGATTAAATCAGCTGAAGCAGGGTGGGTGGATGGAACTCTAGAGGAGCAGCTGTCTCTTTCTGCTCTCCAAATAAAATCAACCCATTATTTTGAAAATTCTTCATATTCTATAGCTTGATTTTTTTCCTTCAGAAAAAATGAAATGTGATGTGTGCAAATATTTTCAGTTTGCAATTTATTTTGAGCCAAAGATCAGATTTGTAAACTCTGTAGAACCTTAACCTGTAGTCTCATTGTGGTCTTGACCTAAGGACCTACTCTTTCAACAGAGGGTGATGTGAAAATCCTCAAGTTAGGATGCCTTGGAACTAGTATTATCCGAACACAATCCACTGCTTCTTATGCACTGAGCCACCTTCAACAATGAGACACGCACTGAAAACAAACACTTTGAACACTTTCCAAACATGCTCATGAATATTTAAAAATAGCCAAGGTTACAGGAAGGAGGGTCAAAGACCAAGACTCAGCCATTCCTGTAGATTATACCTTTCACTGATATTATATCAAACCTTCAATCTTCACAATCATGTTTTGTGTCATTTAAACTAACTTGCTTTTTAACACTTCTCCAACCATGTGATATTTCTAGAAAGGGAACGGAAATACTTGTAAGTGGGAACTGATGTCAGTTTTATGGTCAGCACAACATATAAATAGAACTGATTGTTCCTCCATTTGGCAAAGATTTTCTAGATTTGAAATTAATTCCAGGCCACAGGAATAGAACATTTCCTCTCATTTGAGAGAACTATCTTTTTGGAGTCACTTATTAAATGTTAAAAATCAGTTTCCAAAGGAGGGGGGTTTGTACAATGAAATTTTGAAGGTCTCTGTTTTCTGAATATTTTACTGTGTCACGACACATGAGTCTACTTTCCACTTGGGTCAAGGGCAAGAGCAGCTGTTTTCTATGTAAATTACATCTCTTGGGCTTTCAATGCATGCTGGGAAAGGGACTCATTCAGTTGTAGAAAAAGTGACCCTTGAACAGTCATTGAACTCCAAAGGGGGAAAGTATGTCATGGTGGAAAATTCCGGAAGGATCCCAGCTCCCAAGTGCTGGTCTCTTCTCAGTTCTGTGTCCTTTGGTGAATTCATTTAAATCTTGAAAAATGAGGTGAACACTTTATCTGCTGAAGGCAGGAGGCAAACAGAAGCAGTTTATAAGAGGGCTGAGGACTTCCCAGAAATCTGAAGATGTGGGGAGGGGTTAAAACCAACAGGGCCATCAAGCTATCCAGTTCAGTTAGTCTGTAGAACAGATTTTTTGAAGATGATTTGTCCTTTTATGACTTCAGATGTGCATTTTTTAGTGAAAATGTTTTAAAATTCGAAAGACAGAGGTGTCATTTCAGTCAGTCTAGGTAAGTGCAAGAGAATAGTGACCATGGGTGTGAGTCCATGTTATTGTTCTATAATGTTAAGGTAATCCACTTAAGCAAAGGTGTAAGATGTGCTTTATGTAATGGAACACTCAGACTGTTCCCTGTGGGTGAGGAGATCAGCCTTGGAGAGAGACTGACAGTCTCAGGGAAGGAAAAAGACAAGCACTCTCCACCCAACTTGGCCTCATCTAGGAGAGCTGTGGGTGGGTGGTCAGGAAGGCCGGTTCAAGTTCCGCTTTAATGCCTGTGATGACCCTGACAATGTCACTGAAATATTTCTCTGAAAGATTTCTGGGCCTAGACAATTTCCAATTCATCATTCATCCCTTTCTTTTCATTTTTTTCTTCCCTATCTTCCATATTTTTCTTCCTATCCCTCAGACTGAAGATTGTTCTGATGGTTGGTGGGGTGGTTTCCTTGGTATTGCCTCGCTGAGCTGCTCTGTGTTGTTGACAACACTTAAAGCAAACCACTCCCTTAGCTGCACATCAGTGCCTCAGAGCACAGCAGCCTTACGCATGCCAATAATCAAAAAACATGTATAAAGTGAGCTGCTGTCTTCCTATACATGCTGGTGGTTCAACACATTTCTATTTGAAAGTGGCTAAGATGGAGAGAGGAAAAAGAAAGAGGAGGTTGATGGAAGGACAGCAAAAAGGAAAAAAAAAATAAGAAGAGGAGCAACGAGGAAAACAAATAAGTACAAGTGCCCTTATCAGTTTGGCAAACGTTCCTGAATCAGGTCATTCTGAGAAAAGCCCAGGAGGTTTTATTTCGAAATAGTTGCATAAAGACTTACGTGGAGAAATTGGACTCGGTTCCTTAACGCTTGGAACTTTTTCTGAAACAAAAACATAAATCATAATGCATTCCACAGAGACATCGACCTTTAAGTCAAGGGTCATCAAAATCTCAGCAGAAGTTGACACTTCCCTATTTATTGATAAATATTTACTTGGTAGGGGCAAGCACTTGGTCTAATGGTTAAGATGTTGCCATGGCCTATCTTAACCATACTGGGGTGTCTGGGTTTGATACCGGGCTTGGACCCCTGGGGAACATGATGGCAGAAGTGATCAGGCCCCTTGCACCTGCTTAGGAGACCCAGATTGAGCTGCTGGCCCCACTGGGGTGAGAACCACAGCAGGGAAGCATGTCATCAAAGTTTTAACATCAGTGATTTTCACTGGATATCAAAATGACAGCAAGGGTTACCCCAAGTCTCACACAATCTACTTTGTATACAACCAACTGTACAGCTGGCTTCAATTTGAAGGCAAATGCCTGAACTGAGGGAGTTTGTCTGACAGCGCCTGGGTGTGTGTACCTTTATACTTACTTACTAAAGGACAAGGTAGCTAGGAATACCGTTCTTCTCGCATATACCCACAACATCATTCCATGTCCAAAATAATTCTCGTACCTTCATGTACAGATCTGGATAAGCATGGTTACTCTATCCTTACAGCCACGGTCCTCAGGTCAGCCCCTTGCATGTAGCTGCTGTATCACAGACCTCCTGGTATTCATGGAGGTCTACTACTACCCACTACTACCCTGCCTTCCCAACACTTCCTCCTCCACATCTGGCCCCAGGGTGACATTTTCCAGAGCCCAGAGCTCGTCATGTAGCTGCCCTTAATGATTCCCCATCGTTTATGAGGGTGGAGAGGACACAGTCAAACTCTCTAGCCTGGCTCACAGAGTTCTCTCTCGTCTTCCAATGAAGTGCCTTTCCTTGCGCCCTGCCAGGGCTCTGAATATGTAACCCTTCCCAAACTCTCCATATCATTATGTTTTGCAAGCCACCTCTGTTGCTCCCTTCCCCCAGGCCTGCTTTACAGGAATGTTCTATGGGAGGCCTTCCCTGCCTCTCCCCACAGCTCCATCTCCAGCCCAACAGAGCTGATCTCCCATGGCTGCTCATTCCAAACCTGTTGTGGCACATGCAAGTTGCACCACAGTGTAATTCTACAGTGTTTTCCCTTCCCTGAGGTCAAGGTCTAGTTCTTACTTATCTATCATCGGGGCTCCAAACGATACAGAATAGATCTCCCTGAAGAGTTTGCTGAAAGCTGATGAAAAGTGGTTATACTCTTGGAACATGGAGGAAACCAGGAATAAAAGGACTAGTCAAGTGCTTCTCTGCCTTGAGGTCTGCAGAATGCCTCTGTGTTCACTAAATGTTACACAGCCAAAATCTCATTTGACATTGACAACAGAAAACAATTTTTATCACTATTTCACAAATGAGCAGATTGCATCTCTGATAGCATGGGATCAGCCCAAGGTTACAGCTGGAAAACATCAGGATCGGGAAAGAACCGGGCTTCATGCTCCTTCCTGGTAGCCCAACAGCCTGTGAGTACTGCCCTGTCCTTCACTGGGCAAGCTGTTCACCAAGTAACCCCTTGTGTACCACTTTCAATGGTGAGAATGGTCCAGAACAAGACTTAGGAGCCCATGGCATCACCCCATGGCTTTGGATAGCCCACACGTTATGACTGAAGTTTACATTTTGAGATATGCTTTCAAATCAAAAGACTATTACACGACACACATGTTTTTTGCAGTCCAAATTTCCTTCAGCAGTGAAGCTTTATGTGAGTATAGCCATGCTGGTGCTCCGTACACTGTCACACTACAACTATAGCACTGTGCAGCTCAACAGTGACTGGGTGGGCCAAAACCATGATGATTCTCCTTGGGGCCTTTCTAGAAAAAGTTACAGACTCTGTCCTCTTGTTAGAGGTTAAAGGTGGCATGGAAGAAGTTGTGAATGGAATAAACAGTGTATGGCTTGATGTTTATGATCACAAAAAAGCTAGACAGAGTGAAAAGAGAGAGGACGGTCAACAGGCAGGATTAGCCATCTTGGCAGGGCTGACTCATGTGCCTGCAGCAGCGTGGCCCAGAGTCTGGCCTCAGAAAAGGACCACTACTGGATGGGCTAGCTGGGCAACATGGCAGACCCAGGAGGACATATGCAAACATATGAAGTAGAATTTCCTGGAACATCTAAATGGTTTTGCATTTCATAGAAAATCTAGCTTGGTGTGCAGAACACATACTTGCCACACTAGCAACACAATATACTCTCTGGGGAGTTGGGTCCCATCAGACCATGCTGGGAGCAATAACAATATTGACACCTGGTAGGATATTTTATACGTGACAGCCAGTGTTCACATATCTCACTTAAAACTTTCCAGGAAGTCCCTGAAGTAGGGATAGCTCACCACAAAATGCAAAGGTTAGTTAGTTTGCTCCACTGAATGAAGTCCAAAGGCATTCCAAGGCCCTTGTGGTGTGCATCCTAGGAGAGGCACATGAATTTTTGGGAAGAGTTCCATAAAATCAACCGCCCGCGGTTCAACTTTGTCACTCAGAATCCCCAAGTGGTTTAAGAGTAATCACTCTCCCTAAAGGAGACCTTACATGCAAGAATTCGGATTTTCTAGCAAGGCTGAGTGATAGATGGCAATGTTTTAAAATGCTTAATAGACTTGGGCTGTGATCTAATCTTCCACCCTCCCTCCACACAGGGGCCTTCCAGAGCTAAACAGAAACAGTCATCACTCATTTCCCCTGGGCGAAGTTCCTTCATGACAATGCATAAACAGCAACAAGCACATGCTGCAGAACCCGGGGGGAAAGAGTTTTATCCTCCAACTTGGTGCTCTCAAATCCCCCCCAACCCCTGGGTATAACTAAAATAGTTTGATCTCCACCAGAACCTATAATTGCACTGGCATGCTGAAAGGAAAAGAGTGGACGTAACAATATTTACTTTGGGTTTAAGGATAAGACTGCATGAAAGGAATCCTGGCTATTGCTGCAAGAGAATTTTAACAATAGATTCTTTACAGAAAGGATAAACTATAATCAGCATTCTGAATTCAATCTTCTCGTATACGATGAGTAAATTTTGGTCTGCTTCTAGAACCAAAATTTCCCTTGTCAGATGGGAGGGCTGGTTTTCATAAATGAGGTATTTCTGGGGTTATGCATGAGTAACCGACCACAGCTTTGGCCTTCAATTTCCAATTCAGTTCTTCTAAACACTGTAGGCCTAAGTAGGCCTGCAGGCAAACAAGGCGTCAAAGTGGTACACATGCCTATTGACATCTGATTTACTTCTTTGTTCTTCCTTTTATATGAAAGTCATAAACATACACACATACAGAAAACAGAGAGAGAGAGATCACCCATCACTGGTTCACTCCTCAAACTGGTAACAGCCAGGCTGGAACCAGGCAAAGGCAGGAGCCTATAACTTAAGTTTCTCACTCAAATGAGAGGGTGACAGGGATCCAAGTACCTGAGACATCAGGTGCTGCCTCTCAGGTTGCACATTAGCAGGGAGTTAGATCAGATGAGGAACTCGGACTTGGAACCAGGCACTTCGACATGAGACATGGGCATCCAACTTTGACTGCTACGCTAAATGCCTATGCCTCTAGAAGTATTTGGCAAAGCTGGAAGAGGAAGTGTCTTCCTGCCAACTCAGGAGGCCTTCGTGTAGATCCCATTGCAGTCACAGATTTCCAGACCGCGTGTCACTGTTCTGACCCTGTTTTGGGTCTTCTCAGTATTGATAATGTGCTTCGCAGTGGCCTGTTCACTTAATCTGTATCCTGTCACTTAGGTGTGTGTTTCTCCATTGTGATTTTTGGTCATAGAGCACATATAGAAAAAGGGAAATATTTTGGATTGTTACAACTCAGGGAGAGTTCTAGTGAGTAGAGACCAAAGATGCTACTAAACTTACTACAATGCCCAGGAAAGCCCTTTCTCCCTCCTCACCCCAGTGAAGAGTCATCCTACTCCAAACAGGGATGGTGCTGAGGATCATAAATGTTAGACCAGACTGTGAAGGCCTCACAGTCAGGACAATTAGCCTACTTTAGGTCTGGCATATTTCGCACACACCCTTCCAGATTAATAAAAACCACGTGTATCTTATCATCAGTTACTTTCCCTAGTATAACTCAGTCTTCACATTACTTTTCTTTTTAACTGATCTACTCAATTGTTCCATACTCCAGATCTTTCTATAGTATGTTAATTTTGGAGGTGCAAATTAAATGCTTGAGTTTGGAGGTGAAATTAAATGCTTGAGTTTTCTTCAAAGCAATCTAGTGGATGACAGGAGTGCTAGTCCAAGACTTACCATGAACTTGCCACGGAGGAGACCAGAAGAAAGGTTCATGGTGGTTATATTCTACCATCCTGTTTTATGTACATTTGAAATTTTCCAAAAGAAACTGTTTTAAAGATGTGAAGCACAATATTATAAGATCCCTCTTCCATACTGGACAGATATGCCAGACCTCAGACCATCTGTCAGCTATCTTCCCCATGTTTTTCAGATTCTACTCATCTCTACCTAAGCCCAATGACATAATCTGGCTGGTCATTTACAGTGTTTTTATCCTGGAAAGATCACATGTGTTTCAAAAAGCAGTGCTTCTCTAAGATTGACTTCCCACTGACACGCACAGCTTTCACTTCCTCCTTTCTCTCACTCCTCACCCCAAACCCAGCTTGGCTAAGAGGTCAAGAGGAAAGAGTGGAAATGAACGTTAACTGAGTGTCAGTGATATGCAGGTGCTTTTGTTTTTAGAAAGCTATTTAGTGGGAACGTGGAGAAAGTTTGGCATTCCAGGCATTTAACTTGCTAAGAAGCAGCGCATGTAAATCACTACAAATACAGGCAGGATATTTATTGTTCTTTAACGTCTGCACATTTTTGTGTACGTACGCTAAGTTGCAGAGAAATGATTACCCCTTCCTTTCACCATTTTTCAAATCCTCGCTGACGTGGCATAACCATTTCTATTGTGTAAACCCAAGTATTTTTCAAATTCTGCAAAGAGTTGTCACAGCATCCAAAGTAAACAGCATGAACATGCCTATACTTCAAAATATTCCAGAAAATATGGCAGGATGGCACCACCTCAACTATTTTAATTGTTTTGCCATAAACCATAAAATGCATAAATGATTCATGCTTTCTGAAGCTTTTTTGAGTTACAATCCAAAGTAAGAGAACTTCTGAACTTTAATGAGCTCTCAGACTGAACATGCTTCCCACCTTAACCCTTTGGGAGGATGAACTTTTTTCCAAAATTCTTCTTTCCTTTGAATACTTATAACCATTAGAATATTTGGGTGTTATCTTGAATGCCAATGCACACTGTGAAAAGGCAGGGAGTGGGGAAGAAGGGAAGGAATATGAAGAGGTAGGTAGCTACCCAAGTTACTCCTAGCTTTTCTTTAGAATTGTGATCAATGTCCCTCTAGATCAGACACATGGCTTATGGGCAAAGACTCTGCAATTAAAGTACCAGGATTTGAATTCAGAGCTATCATTCACACGTTGCATGACTGTGGCCAAGTTACATAACATTTCCCATGCAGAAGTGCTATGAGAATTAAATGCAATAATCCAGATAAAGCATTTGACACAAAGTCTTGTACAAAAAGAAATACTCAATGAGTGTTAGGTCATCATCACTTACACCATTATCCTTACTGCCAGCACCATTATCTACCACGGAAAGTTCAAGTAATAAAATAAGGGCTAACCTACTGCTGATTCCCAAAATGTGCTCTAGAAGGTTCTATCTAAAACAGTGGCACAGAGGTGAGCTGTCAGCTCAGTCACCAAGATCCTACACTTCAACTGGAGTGCCAGGGTTCAAATCCTGTCTCTGCTCCCAGATTTCCCTTAATGTGCAGCTTAAGAGATACTGGTGATGGCTCAAATAGCTGGAAGACCTGGATTGAGTTCTTGGTCTGATCCCTGCCTCAGCTTTGTCTACTGTAAGCATGTTGGGAGTGAACGGATGGATGGGAGGGCTCTCTGTGTCTGTCAAATAAAGAAACAATAAAAACAACAACAGTAATAGGCCCTAGTGACCCAGAGAAGAAACCCAGATTGACTGATTTAGTCTTGCTGGCTTACTCTCCTTGTTCGTGGGAAAAAGAAATACCACTGCAGGATGTCCACACCATCAGCAGTAGCGGTCAAACAGTGACTCCTGGCCTGGCTGTGAAAATGGGCACCAAGAGCCCTTGCCTGCCGCCCCTGAAAATCCAAGCGCTGAGAAATATCAACCAATGGCCAGGATAGCCAAACTCTGGCAGGACCTCCAGAGCTCACAGAGGCAGCAGAAGGACAGGGAGAGGTTCCATGGGTTGGAAAATTCCTTCTCAAAAATTACGTTCTAGTAGGTGATCCACCTCCTTCCAGCAAGTCAAGCCTATCAAGGCAAATGTTCACATTTTCTTTTCAGAGGAGTCATCCAGTTCATTGGGAGGCAGAAAGCATAGAATCTGGGGGTTCTGCATGGGGGTGACCCAATTTGAGAGTCCAAAGACATCAAGGTAGGATGAGTCACTGACAGAGCCTAAACCTGCCCCTAGAAACCCTAACCCTTCCGTGCACTGCTGCAATGCAAATTTGCCTGGAAGCTGCCTTCCACTGCCCCCTCCTCAATCTCTGTAGCAAACCTAATCAATACATTTTCTTCAAGCCCCTGCTTCTCCACTAAAATCTAGTCTCAAGTCAGCAAATCTCATGAAATTGCCTTAGACAGTGATAAAACTTTCTTCTTGAAATTTTATGTAAATACTGAACTTTTAGTATAGCTGCAAAAAAATTCGGTAAAAGTCAATACCTAATATACAAGAGAAGTTAATGAGAAAAATACCACCAGTCTTAAAAGTAGAATGAATGAATTGCTGGAAGTTATAGCGCTGCAATATTAATTCCTCATTATTGTCTGGCATGGGAAAGAGCAAGCTGCCGCGTTCAATTACCAGTGCAACTACCTCTCTCCAAATCAGCGATGGTAACAGAGCACGAGGCAGCAGCTGCTATTGTTAAGCCATTTTCTCAGCACAAAACATAGCCAACTGTTGCCCAATTGTGATTACTCTGCAGCACAATTAATCTACTCTGATCTCCTTCTCCTGAACCCAGTAAAAAGAAGCCAGCAGGTGGGCAAAATATTTACAATCTTGCAAAGATTGAAAGCCAATCAATAAAATAAACAAAGCCCAAAAATGATGGTGAAGAACCAATAAATGTCTAATCTGGACATTTTACAACAACTTTAGAATGGCTGGGAAATAAGATTTCTATTCTGCTCTTTCAAATAGCAGAGTTGAGTGCTACTGCAGAAAAGGCTGCTGGGAATCACTAGTTCCACTCTCTCCTTTCCAGGTAAAGATACGGAAACCCAAGGAAGTGAGGGGAGTTCCCATGAGCAGAGAAAGCTAAGAGCTGTGATCTCTCCATACACACTCTTCCTAGAAAGGGGCAGATGCCACCACCAACCATGACCATTGGAACAACACTGATTGTTTTCATGCAGGTCACTCCACCAAAAGAGAGACCAGAAAGCACCCACGTGTCTCTACTCCAGTAATCGCTTCCCAAGCCCCAGTTCAGCCCTGCCCCCTCTGCCATGCCTGGTCTTGCCAAAACCCACTCCAACAAAACTAGGATCAAAAGTGTCATTCCAGAGCTATCTCACACCATAGATCTGGTGCTAGTTCAGTAGGTTTCACTAATACCCAGTCCACTGGGGCCAGGCTGCTCATTGGCTTTGGTCAAGACCCTTGGTGCCCGGGCTTCTCTCTAGCTCTTATAGAAGCAGGAAGTAGCCTATGACCCAGCCCCGAAGACTAGGAATCCCCTTCCATGCTTCTGACCACCTCTGAGCTTGCCACTTGCAAGCAGCAGTGTCTCTGGACAGGGATAGGCTGTTTCTAGACAGTCACAACTGGTACTGACATTTGGTTCCACCCTCTGATGTTACCAGCTGCCTGGGGTCTCCTTGCTTGTTTATGACCCTTGGTAGCCACAGGGATTTACAACTGTCTGGCAGATCCTTAGGGGCCCAGCTCTGCTTCTTGGCTGGTATGAATGGCCTGGCCTATATGAGGGTGCCACTTTGGCTGTCCTCCTAAGTATGGATGCCACACTCCTTGGGGTCACATCCCAAGTCTCCTCCCAGAAGACAAAGGTCTCAACCTGTTCCTGCATGAGTACCAAGATGCAGCCTTGGTGCCAACCAACAAACTTAATGGTGTAAGATTCCGCAAATGGAATTTTACAAAGCAGCTGTCCCTCTTCTTCCTGCTGCAACTCCTCAGGTGGATAGGCCTTCCTTCATACCACCCTGTCAAGGCACCTGCCTTTCTAATGAAGCAGCATAACAATGTGTACCAGCAGATCACAGGGAAAACAGGCTGTGGGCGCTGTGGGCAATTCCCTGCAGCTCAGGTGCAATTCCATATTCCCTGGTGGGAAGCATATTCAAAGGCCAGGGACCCTGATCTAATTTTTCAGCAAGGACATCATTGACAAGCGTGTCACAACTCAGTTGCAGTGCCAATTAAAGATTCCTTAGGCAAATAGTCTGCTACTCTAGTCACAAACGGGGCCTGCTGTATCTTAGGATTAAAATTGGACTCTGATTGACAGCGTTGGATCTTCCCTGACTCGGCTCCCAAAGCGTACCTCTGGTCTCTCCCGCCTGGTAGATCACAGCCAGGGGCTTGGTGAATGTCTTCTTGTTCTGCATCATGGCCCAGATCATGGAGGCATCCAGCGAGGTGCAGGCTTCATCTGGAGGCACGCACTGTAGGGGAACAGAGCACAGTAGGGGAGTCACTAGAAAGTTACATCACTGGGCCCGGTGCGATAGCATAGCAGTTAAAGTCCTCGCCTTGAACACATCGGGATCCCATATGGACGCCAGTTCTAATCCTGGCGGCCCTGCTTCCCATCCAACTCCCTGCCTGTGGTGTGGAAAGGCAGTCGAGGACAGCTCAAAGCTTTGGGACCCTGCCACCCACGTGGGAGACCCAGAAGAAGTTCCTGGCTTCAGACTGGCTCAGCTCCAGCTGTTGTGGCTGCTTGGGGAGTAAACCATCGGACAAAGATCCCTCTCTGTCTCTCCTCCTCTCTGCCTTTCCAATAAAAATAAGTAAATCTTTAAAAAGAAAGAAAGTTCCAACCTGGCCTGCACAGTAGGCCTGAGGCCCCTTATCAGTCAATTCCCAGCTGTTTGCCACAGAAAAAAAACAAGAGATTTGGATGGCTTTCAAAGAACCTCAAACAACGTGGGAGATGTGGTGGCAAGTCCAATGTGTTTTCAGCTGCATTTGAAGATGCAAATGTTGCTTGATGGCTTATAAACATTGCCTTCTCCCCCAGTCCTCCGGCTTCCGAGAAAACAACCAGAGGTTTGAGTGTTACCTAGCCTGATGACTAGAGGGACCTTGTGATGAGAGCTGGCTTGTGGGAGATGCTATGCCTTGTAGTATGAAGGTGACAGATTTTGCATTTGTTGTCCAAAAGATCAACATATTGTCGAGTTTATTTCGTTTGTTTTTCTTTTCAATTCCTGGCACAGGCTCAGGTAAAATTAAACCTCCCAATGTCATCTGCTTTTCAGGTTCCAAAATGCAGGGCCTGGGGAGCTGTGCCCAGGTGCAGAGACCAGGAGACGAGCTGCTCGGAGCTCTTCGAGGCCTCAGCTTTGGCTTTGCTGTATCTGTTGGCAGAAAGTGTGATGATGCGCCAGGATCTTTTCCTTTAAAGTTACTCTGGTTCCTCGGTCTGTGCTCATCAACTGATGAAACCCCAGTACAAGGGACACCCATCGCCTTTTGGTTTTAGGAAGAAAAGAAAGAAAAACCCACCAACTGTTTTAAAAGTCCACAGCCAAGGCCAACTCAGTCAGCTCTTGTTCCTCCAACTAAAGAGCGAGGCTTCAGGCCTCATGGTTACTCTGCTTTGTGCAGCACGCAGCAGCAGCCCAGATTCACACCAGGACAACGTCTCATCCCACCAACCAAGAACAATCCCACCCGAGGAGGTCGCTCTCTGGGAGCACGCTCTGCCCATATCCCTCCCCACATTCACACTCAAATACAAACACTAACCACATTTACCCACATATCCTACCCTACATATCAACTCCCAATTCACATAACTGCCACCTTACCTCCCACAACCCTTATCACATTTCCCACATTCAAACCTAACAATTTACCTCCCAATCCCCCACCATATAATCTCTACACAAACCCCCTCAACAATATCCTCCAACCCCTACCAACTTCACCACTACCCTACTAAACCACACTAACATTTCCCCTCACTCACTAATCTTTATCTTACCCTTCATACCCCCTTCTACCCAAAATTTTTCATAATAACTATTCCATCTCCCCTTTCAACCTTCTCCCTTCTAAACTCTCATCTTTCACTCGCTCATCATTCCCCAATATAACATACCTTACACACATTATTTATACAATAATACTCACCTTTCATAATACATTTCCCATCCCCCACACCATCCCATAATATTAACCACTTCAATCATCCCTTTCATTACTCCCACTCACCCTTCTACACCCCTTTCCCAAAAATCACAAAAAAACCAATTACACCCACCACCACCATCAAAACTACCACCCATACATTATTTACTCTACACCCTCCCATCATAATATCAATCCTTATTCACACCCGTAACATCCCCCCTCCACCACCATAATCCCCATTATTAAATATAAACTCAAATTTCCCATAATTACTCCACACATTACTAAATCATTATCAACATAATACCATAATTCATATCCCACTTTAATTTCCTTCACTTATTTTACATTTCACATTTTTCCCATCTCATCTCTAAATCATCCTTCCTTCCAACCTCAGCCCCAACTTCTTTCCAGAGTATTCTGCCTTAGTAAATGGCTACTTGAGGTTTAGGGTCAGACCCCATCATGTCCTCTTCTGGAACTCAGAACACTCCTTAGAGCGTTCTGGAAGGAAATGCTAGGATTAATGCTCACAGATTTACACACTGTGAAGCAGGGGTGTTCCAGGCCAGGCTTAGGGAAAAGGAAATAGCCCAAGCCACAGGTAACAACAGTAATAATCCCAGGTAACTGCCTCCCTCCTGGGTCCCTAACTCCCACAGGTCATCTTTTAGACTACAGGAAGCAGGTGGGTCCCAAAGCAAGTATCAAGTTCCCCATGGCTTTCCACCACTGATCACTAAGCCCAATCTTGATGGTCATTAGAAGGTCAATGCCCAAAAGGTTAAAGTATCAGTGTTTCCCACAGCCAAGTGACAAACACGGTCTAATTGCTTCCGGATGATTAGAATCCAATTTGCTGAGTTTTCATCTGTGAACAAGAGTCACTTTGCTATCAGAGAAATGGATGCTGGGGAAATAGCAAGTTGCAAAGGATTCAGAGCACAGCAGCCCAGCTGAGGTTGAGCCTCTTCCTTCTTTCTTCACACCTACTTCTTACAACCTGTGTCTGAGGTGAGAGAATCCCAACAGGCATGAGCAAGGATTTAGATTGATTCTTAGCCCTTCCGACATCAATTGATGGGGGGTGGCAATACTGGTTTACGCTTTGTGTGCGTCTTCAGAATAAATGCATGTACGCAATCATACTAATTACAACAGCACATAGACATGAAGCTTTGGCTAAAGATGCCTCTTACGCTCATAAGGCCAGCTAATGAGGTATCATAATGAACCTTGCAGATCCCCCTGCGGCAGCTACTCCAGCAAGGTCAGATGGTTGTGGTTTCTGTTATGGGAACAGAGCGTACCAGTCCAGCGTAGGGAGTGACATAAGGCAAACATGAAGAACTGATATGAAACTGAGAAAAATTAAAATATTTGTAAGTTTCCTTTAGAAATCCTCCTGAGATAAGCCAACCTTATAACTCACTCAGAGAGGGTCAAAAAATAACTGCGTCCCAAGCCTCAGTGGGACCTGGAAAAATTAATCCTCACACTGAACTCGTCCTCTCGGCTCACTGTCCTTTTGGCGCTGTGCTCGATCCGAATAGCAAAGATAAAGCCAGACTTCTCTCTCTCTCTTTCCCTCAGTGGAAAACAGTCTTGATTTATTGCTCATGAAGTACTATTAAGTAGCACGCACAGAGAAAAAAAGCATACTGTCAGGATTTATTCTCTAAGACTCCATAAAACTCACAGTCCCTTCTACCGCTGATTTTTATGACTTCAACTGGGCAATTCCCAAACCGAAAACCTCAACCTGCCTAACTTGGGATTCAACTTCTTCAGCGGGCCACTGCCTCACCTAAAAACGCCAAGGTCACGGGCAAGTGGCTAAAGTTCCCACTGACCTTGGGTAACCTCTGGGGGTCCTTCTCTCTCTTGGTACACAAGGTCAGCTCACACTGGAGGAAGAGCAGCGAAGTGTTGAACACCGGCTTGAAGACAAAACTGAATCGCTTCTTGTCTATCTCGGCTTGCGGGATGGGAAAGTGCACCTTCTTGGGACTGTAGAATTTGACTGATTCATCTTTTGGACAAATGTTCTCAATGATGGTGTAATCGGACATCCTATCCGGGTTCGAATATGGGGAGATAAAGCATGTCTGGATGGCAAACCCCAGCTCCTGGTCAGCCTTGGTGACAGACACCTAGGGAAGGACAGAAAGATGAACTTAGAAACATGGCAGCAAGTCACTTCTACCACAGGCACAGAGCAATGCACCCACATGACCCTTGGCATGAGATGCTGTTTATTTTCATTTTCTTAACACATGTGCAGCTTCCCTTTCTCACTGCCAAAGTAACAAACACTTGTCGAAGAAAGGTATTTCCATCTAAACTGGATGGGGACAGTACATTATTTGGTTCAAATGCCAGTCTGGAATGCAAGATAAATACATGTCTTCAACCTTCCGCAAGCCCTCGGGGACAGATAAAAAACAATGAGCACACCATATACCTCATGTGGATTTTTCCAAAATAAGTAAAACATAGGTAATGCCCTTAATATTAAAACAGGGTACACTTGTAACACAAGATTTAAAAGCAATTACTCAAAAAAGAAATTATTTCAGAGGCAGAATCTATTCCAGCCAGGTAGGCAAAGGCAAGCTTCCCAACAAGCACAGAGCAAACTAAAGGCTGCAGGAAAACAGGGCCCTGGTGAAGCCCTGCCTCACTCACCAGCAGACCCGAGCCGGCCCCGGGAGCTGGACGTCAGGCACGCTGCAAGCTGGTGGCCATCACAGCCCTGGCAACGTGGCCCAGCTGCTCAGAGGACCGTGCCAAGGACTCTCCCCTTCACTCTGTAAGCCCAGGGGTATTTTAAGGGAAATCTAATATGGAAACTGTTCCAAGTCATTTACACTTCCCTCTTACAAAACATTTGCATGGGCCAGGTCCAAACCTTGTTAAGGTTCTTTTCTTTAGAAACAGGAAGTTGTGTTGAGCCAAGTGTAAACAGAATTCAAACCTCAACCATCCTGAACTCGACTTAAAGTCTCCAGATCAGGCTGGATTCTCCATTGGGTGACACTGTGTGAACTACCCCGCCCCCCCCAACTCACCCCTACCCCCATGCCTCATTCCTTCACTAAACTTAGGATGAAAATAAACTTAAACCACTTTAGAAATAAAGTCAGTTTTTACACCCCTAGGCCAGTGGCCTCAGAATCCTCTCAGGAGACATGGAGATATAAACAAACTTTCCATTCTGAGATACCCAGGGGAACCCCCTGACATTGTCCGGGGCCTCGAATCCACAGCCCTGTTATGAGAGATTTCCCCCACAGTTAACCAGCACACTCTCAACGATCAAGGTGCTGAGAAGGAAGAGGGTGTCACTATGATGTCATCCCTCTACAAACTTCTACTCCTCACTGTTTTTTTTCAGTCTTTCTGATGAACAAGCTAGTCCACTTTGGAAAGACGGCAAACGACATATACCTTATTACTAAAAAGTACTCTTCAACAAAATCAGCCACAGTGTAAAAATATGTAACAGGGTGACTGCAAATCTTTATTCTCAAAGAAGGTATGTAATGGCATAATGTCTGGGCTCTCCAAAATTCTGCTTTAGAATGGGAAAAAAAAATATTGGCAGCAAGTCCTTAAAGGGGCTGGAAAGGCCTGGCAGGAGGACTGGGGCCTCCCAAGTGAGTAGGTCTCAAGAAATCACATGCTCAGGCTCAGTTTCCTCACCTACAGAACAAGGACTCTGCCACTGTGAGATACAGTTCCTGGGGTCATTAGCAAGCTGGCAGTCACATGCCAACAATAAGGCCTACAGGTGATCAATACACATGGCCTATCAGCAGTAATACTATTCCCCATTGAAATCTGGGGAGAGGGGTTACAGACAATTTTTTAAGTCCCCAAGTCAAACAAATTGAAAGAGAAACTCCCATTATGGGACCAGGGCTCACACACAGATGACCAAAGAACAGATGGAAAAATGGTTAATGTCTTGGATTAAAGAAGACTGTGGCCAAGAGCGAACAGAGGATTCTGGGAAGAGAAATCAGAGATGCAGGGGAGAAGAAATGTGGAAGCAGTTTTTTTAGGCCTAGTCCATGATTTATGAAGCTTTACTTGACAGAGGTAAACACTTTTCCTATCACAAGTGACATCTGAACTGGAAGACAAAGACCAAGCAAAGATTGAGATTTCCTCTTGTATTGTAGTTTTAAACAACAGTAAAATAAAGCAGTTTGCAATCAGCTCTTCCATTCTCCTCAATGTACTTGACATTAAAAATGGTAGCAAAAAAGACCTAGGGCATTTATTTTTCATCAGTTGACAATATCTCATAAAGTTTAACTACCAAAAAGTACTTAGCATAAGATATGGACGAGAACAAAAAAATCCAACTTACAACACGGGTCAAGTAAGCTAACCCTGTGGAGGTGGGGAAAGAATAGACGACATCAGTGTGAGACCCACAAGCAAGACTGGTCACTGAGGAGCAAGAAGCAGAGCCATGAGCTCGCCGAACCAGGCACACACTTGGAAAAGGACCAACTGCACTTAGGCAGCACCCCTGAAGCCCAGGGCACAACAGGGAGTTGCTGACCGACTGAACATGTGGACTGTGTAGCCAGGAAAGCAAGAGGGATTAGGAAAGATCTATGACTAAGAACAGTGGGTAGAGAGCTGTATATTATCCTCAGCGGAGAAAGAAAATGCTTCCCAAAAGAGCAAAGTTCTCAAGAGGCAGGTGCGGGAGGGGCAGAAGCCACACGATCAGTGAAACCAGCAGCCAGAGCCAGTGGGCATGGTGCCAAACTGGGTCAAATGTGAGAGTTAATTTCCTCCCCCGAGCAGAACTGCAGGCACTGGAGTCACGTCTAAGGTATGGAAGTATCCCATTTCCACCCTGAGCTGCTCTCCCCTTCCACCGGCCAGCTTTTCGCCTCACATCAAAACAGCACACCTGCGGATGCCATTCTTCCACGACAGCAGGCAAAATGGAAACATAGTCGTGAGAACTCAGCAAAGCTTGTGCCTCAATTTTCACATCCACAAAATGGAAATATTGTTAGTCTGTACAAGTCAGACTGTTCTGAAGAATTAATGAATTGCTATAATTCTTACAAGTGGGTCTGGTACATAATAAAGCTTCAGGAAACATGTGCTATTATGATTTCATTATGACCACCACTACCTAATGTTTGGCTGTCATCTCATGTGCATGCTACTTACACTAACGGTATGTGCAGGGCACGCTTTCAATACATTCACTCATTTGGAAACAAGTCAAGAAAAAAATGAACCAATCTCCTTGAGATATGGTAGCATACTGCATTTTGCTTAAAAGTGTATAGAATTTAACCTAATGTATGAAATCCTGAAGTTTCCTGCTCTGGTCAGAAGCCAATTTGGAAATGTTTTTTTGAGCCAAGCCCTCACTCAGATCGGGTCAAGTGCCCTGGGAGGGTCAGGGTAGCAGAGGAGGAGGTATGTACAGTGTGTTCTAGCTCCTGTCAGAGGGACTACCGCTCAGCACTAACCTAAAAGCCTAGGGTCAGGTCTCACCTCTACATAAACGTGGCCATTTTCTGTGACAGAGAAGATGCCCTGGGAGGGCACCAGGAAGAGGTCGGTGTTATACAGCTCCATGTTGAAACTGATGTTTCCGTTGGCCTGGTCCAGGAAGCTACTTGGGTTCCCTGGCTGCTGCAGGCTGCAATTAAACTGGAAAAATAAATACATAAAATCACTGTCACATGAAGGACAAATGCCCTGTAGCTTCAAGAGTTTGGGCCTTTAATATGCTTGTATTTTCACAATAACCCCTGATTAAACTCAAACAAACTTGAAGGTTCCTCAAAAAGTCTATAAAGGGACCCTGTGCAATGGCCTAGTAGCTAAATCCTTGCCTTGCATGCCCAGGATCCAATTTGGGCACTGGCTTGTGTCCCAGCTGCTCCACTTCTCATCTAGCTCCTTGCCTTTGGCCTGGGAAAGCAGTCGAGGACGGCCCAAAGTCTTGGGACTGACCCTGCACCCACGTGGGAGACCTGGAAGAAGCTCCTGGCTCCAGGTTTCAGATCGATTCAGCTCTGGCCCTTGCGGCCACTTGGAGAATGAACCAGTGGATGGAAGATCTTTCTCTCTACCTCCTTCTCTCTGTAAATTTTCCTTTTCCAATAGAAATAAATAAACAAATCTTTATAAAAAAAAAAGTCTGAAAAATAGATTTAACACGTAAGGTTATTTTGGTGCCAAAAAAAAAAAAAATTTCTGCAATCCATGCATGATTTTCTCAGAATGCACATTTTCAACAGACTTTTAGATGACTCCTGTAGACAAAACTCTCCATAAACTACCCACTGAAAACAGACTCACCGGCAGGATTTCAGGACGGCTAATGAAGGAAGGCTCTCCCTCATCCATGTCTCCGGGAAAGCCATTGTCTCCTGACTCCAGGTCTTCATAACCTTCAGGCCAGCCACTGCTGTCCATGGGGGTCAGCCCTTTTATCACAACCTAGAAGACAAAGCAAGCACAGCTTACACTACCGAATTACCCAGCCACACACACATTTAGTTCTACCTTACATTAACACCCATGGAAGGAGTTAGGTACAAACTGAAAATCTGATTTGAAAACAGAAACAGCAACAACAGAAAACTCCACGCATTTTAGGATTTCATTTCAAAGTGGGAAGCAATAAGGAGAATCCTAATTAGGTTTGAACTAGGAGCTTTATTTTCTCAAAGATGCAAAAATTGATTTTACAACTAGATGGAGAAAATGCAAATTAATTAGAAAATGGAAAAACACTAGACGCTGAAATGGAGTTGAATGGGATTGTTGCTTGCCAATATGGCAGAGGGACCATATAGGCAAGGATCTGGATACTAAAAACTCTAAGAAATACAAAGACTTGGCCATGGTAGGCTTAAAGATTTATAAAAACTTTTATTTGAATTAGAAGTCAGGATATGGGAACTCAATCCAGGTCTCCCACGCACGCAGCAGGGATGCTTACACCACGCACCTGCTGCTTCCCACTGTTGGAAAGCTAGACGTGGGAGCCAGAGGCGACACTCGAACCCAGGCTCTCTCCTGGGGTTAGAGCCTCCCAAATGCATCCCAAGCCCTGTACCAAATATACCACCCATACAGTCTCAGATAATTTCATAAAGATCTTCTCAAATCTGAAATCACTTTTTAGAGAAGTTGGCCTACCTGTGGATGAGATCCAAGTAAGCCTAGAGAAACCAGCCATCTGGCTGCTCAGTTGTGCAGAGCTTCTCACTGAGAGCCTAAGACATTGAGGTTTATCTCCCAAAGAGCCAGGCCATTTGATCCTCTGCTTGGATGCAAAGAGGAGTCCTAATCTCCCTGCCAGTGAACCCTTTAGCATCAAGTGTCAGAAGGAGGGAGTTGGTGAGATCACCACAACCCCAGCTGAGCAAACAGGACCTTCCTATTCTCCAAAATTCAGGGGGAAAAAAAAGCAAATGAAAAAAGAGGTCAGGGTCCATGCAAATTCTTTTTTCTTGAGACCTGACACTTGAGTTTGTTCAGGCTCCTGCTCATCTTCAGACACACAGAAAGACTAGCGGTAAGGCAACACCAGGAAGCCTCTGACAGAAGGCAAAGAGTGATGCTACAGGACACGCACCGAATTGTAGTAGACCACGCCATTAGGGACTGAGCGCCGGTGGCGGGTGCCACAGCCATTCAGCGGAGACTCCAGGATGAAGTGGGTGCCATTCAGCCTGGCCTTGCAGCGAGGATCCAACAACGTGACCTCCATGCCTGAGTAGCTGCTGGTCTGCAACAACAATTAGCAAAAACACAATGGGGCTGGCAAGCACTAGGGTTGCATGTAGTTAACACATGCTGCCTGATCTGGCCAATGAAGGCAGGAGGCACGCATTCTGCCCCTTTCCCCCAAGGACTGTTGGTTTGCCTTGGAAATTCAAGAGCAAAATACTGACACACAAGGATCTTGCCCCCTCCTAGAGAACAGCAGGACCCACGTGAGGATCACAGCCAAGAGGAAGGGGTTCCTCTCTTCCTCTGAGAAAACAGAAGTCACCAGAGCTCAAAAAGTGAGGGAGCTGGAGGGAAATCAAGCAGACAGCCCAGAGTGAGATGGAGGCAGCCATCTTCTCTCCTTACAGAAGCTGCACTGACCTGAAAAGCGTCTTTTTCTACAGCCACAGTCATCTTGTCACTGTCACATTTGACTGACAGGGCAACATTCATGCTCCCTTGCATCTCTTCTGGCTCTCTGGGACTAGGAAACAGTTGCATGCTGGGGATGACAGGGTCCTTCAGCCTAGGGATCCGAGTTTCACCTTCTCCCTTCCGGCTTTTCCTGGGGAGATCTGGGAAAGGGAAGGGGAGACCTCCGTTTCGGCCTCCCCCGCCCCGGAAGGGCGGGTTTTCCAGGGTAGGCAAGGAGCTGGGGTCCAGCAGGATGCGTAGTTCAGGAGGGATGGCATGGACTTCCTCATCTCTCATCTCCTCTGTGGCGACAGAGAAAGTAAAACAGCATTAATGTTGCCACCAGGCCACAGGCATCGCCAGCAAATGCAGAACAGGAGCAATTAGTTAAAACTGACAAGTGTAAAATTACTTTTAACAAGTAATGTATTTAAGCAACCAGGAGACTGGAAGCCTGGTACCTAATCCTGGTCTCTCCACCAAGCTCAGTGTCTTTGAGCAGTTGGCTTATTTCTCTGTGCCTCAATTTCCCAAAATGTATAAAGATCAGATGACATCAGTGGTTCTCAAAGGACTACACTTTACAATTACTCTGAGAACATAAAAAAAGAAATCTCTATACCCAGATTGTAGCTGCCAATTAAAATGTAAAATCTCTGGGGGGAGACCCATTCTTATATTTCAAACTCTCCATGCAATTGGAATGTACAGCCCAGGTGGGGATCATAGTGATAGCTAATTTCTAAATACAAGAGACAAAAATTTGTGACTTCACTAAGTTGCACAGGGCCACACTATTCCATTCAAATACCACTGTAATGCTTCTCTTAAATCTAGAGATTTTTTGAGCAGTTTTTCTAAAGATTTCTTGAAACAATATTAGTATTTGTTATTATCTGAAAGGCAGGCAGGGAGACAACTTTCATCTGTGGAGGTCACTCCCAAAATGCCTACCGCAAACAGGGCTGGCAAGGACCCAAGCACTTGAGCTATCACCTGTTGCCCTTGCTAGATTGGAGCATAGCCAACATTTCAAAACAGGCTGGCTAATATTGGATTGGGCATCCCAAATGGCATCTTAACCACTATGGCACACACCTATCTCCAGTACTAACATTTTAAAAATTAGTGGGGTATGGTGCTGTGTCTTCAGCATCGGCATCCCATATGGGTGCCAGTTTGAGTCTGTTTCTCCTGCTGAAGTGTCTGGGAACACACTGAAAGATGGCCCATGTATTTTGGGGTCCCTGACACCATGTTTGAGACCTGGTTGAAGCCCCTGGTTCCTGGTATCAGACCAGCCCAGTTATGGCCACTTGGAGAGTCAAACAATGGATGGGAGACTTCTCTCGCTCTAATTCTGCCTTTCAATATTTGGCTGGGGGAGGTGTTGTCATAGAGGTTAAGTGAGTGAATAAACAGGAGCAAGGAGACTTGAACTGGTTCTTCTAACCTTCGTTCTGAGAGCATTACAATCATGAGGAGTGCCGGAAGTGAGGAACAGGTCTGGGAACAGAATCCTGCAGCTTGAGTCAGGCTCACTGTAAGACTCTTTCAAAAATCTCATGAACTTGTTGAGCCTCTGCTTTCTGCTCTATCAAAGTAAAGTGGCAACGCTGCCCCCTAACCGGGTTGGAAGCCCCAGTGTGAGTTCCCACGACCATCTTCCTAGAAGAGGCAGGTTTTGACCACGGTCTTCTTTCCTGCAGTGGTAACCCCACTGTATTCTCAGCCATAAGTGGTCCCGTGATGGTTCTAGTAGGAGAACCCTGGCCAATGTATCTCTAATGTGGTCACAGCAGTGATCTAAGGCAAGGTGCTCTGACATGCAAACACCTTGACAATACTAAGATGTGTATTTCAGCTTCATTTATTACAATTCAAGACCTTTTTAAGCCTGACACTAAATAGCACATATATTAGTAAAATGTATAACAGAAAAACTGCACCATAGAAGCTGAAATGAGATACGTTTATGAGAGAGCTCTATTTGGGACATTTTTTTTCATACAAGTAAATACATTTAAAAAAATCACATCTTACCATGGTTTTCAAGTCGAAGATGAAATCTATTAGCCACAGGGGCCATGGTGTATGAAGTTACTGGGCTATAGCCATTGTCCAAAGCCCACTTCACCAAGTTCTCTTGGGTGGAAGGAATATCATCTCTTACAGACTTGGTCATGGTCATAGACCTTTCACTCTCTTTCCCAAAACCAATACTGTTAGGAGCCTACAGAGAACAGTAAAATAAATCTCAATCATGAATGTAAAGATAAATAATATTTTAAACAAATCTTTCACAGAAAGGAAGAGACACCTATTCATGCTATCTGCTCATGTTGCTTGGGTAGTTTATCTTAATAAAAATACAACGACAGTTAAAGAGCTGCATATTATATATATTTTCTGTGTTATACAGAGTTAAATGTTGAAGTCCTTAACACACTCATCAAATCTGTACACCAAACTTTCTCCTGTTTCTATTTACAATTAGGTATAAAGTACACAAATTTACATGTTTAACTTCCTATAACCCAAGATTTAAATGAAAGCACAATCAAGTTGCCTTGAAAGGAAGACTAGCCCATCCTTACTTATTAAATCCCATTTGGCAAAACTGTCAACGTTGATATTTTGTTTATAATTTATGATCAAGCTGATGTTTGTGCAACTGCTCATTTGCCAGTTCTTTTAACTGACAATGCTAACAGTTTATGTTCTAAAATATTACTTAATTTAGATTACCTTTCCTCTGCCTGTTAATTTTTTTAGGTCTATTTATTTATTTGAAAAGCAGAATTAGAGAGAGGTGGGGGAGAGAGGGAGGAAGGAAGGGAGAGATGTAAGAAAAGAGGAAGTGGGAGGGGGAGAGAGAGAGGGAGAAAGAGAGGGAGAGAGGGGGGAGAGAGAGAAGGAGAGGGAGAGAGGGAGAGAGAGAGGGGGAGAGGGATAGAGGGAGAGAGGGAGGGAGAGAGGGAGAGAGGGAGAGAGAGAAGGAGAGGGAGAGAGGGAGAGAGAGAGGGAGAGAGAGGGGGAGAGAGACAGAGACAGACAGAGATCTTTGATTTGTTGATTTACTCCCCAGATTGCTACAAAGGCCAGGGCTATACCAGGTCAAAGCTGGGAACTGGGAGAATGCTTCATCCGCCTTTCCCATATAGGTAACGGGGCCCAGACGTTTGGACCATCCCCTGATACTTTCCCAGGCTGTTGAGCAGGGAGCTGGATTGGAAATGAAACAGCTGGGACACGAACTGATACCCATATGGGATGATGTTATTGTCTTTATCCCCTATTAAGCAAGGTTATTAATGTTTTATCCAATATTACAAGTAGGTCAGAAAATTTGTATTTAGTGGGAAATCAGTTATGAAATTAAAAATCATACAAACTCTTTCAGGAAAGAATCTAACTGCACTCTGAATAACCAAGACATGAGAGGTGAATTTCTGCATCACTTGGGGACTCATGTAACTGAGTGGTCTAGTGCGAGGGCGACACAGCCAGACGCTGCAGAGGGTTCTCAAAGGGCTGGCCCCACCTTTTCAACAACTGTTGTACCAGGCGGCAAAGTCCCTCCAGCATACAGCTTATGCCATTTTCACGCTGTATAAAAATCTCTTTAATTTCCATGCCCATTGATTTTGCCCTGCACACATGCAGCATTTTTCCTCAATTCCTCATTTGTTTCCCATTCTCTTTGCCCTTAACATGACTAAATACTAATCTTTTCCCACTGTAACACCATAAGAGATTCACAGGCTCTAAGTTCTCTTGGCCTCATTGATAGTGGGAGATTGGCTGGGGACACATGTATTTAACTTCAGGGCTTAAAAGATCTCACCCAAAGGACTTATGCATGGGAAAACTGCCAGTCTGGCTAGCCAGCACCCTGGCATTCAGAGAAACCAGGCAGTTTTAGTTCAAGTTGTGCAGCCAGGTGTTAACTCAGTTCCACATACTCAAAGTGCTACAGCTCTCGCTTGAAATCAGGGCAAATTTCTTAGTTGCTGGTTAGAAAAACAGCAACTAAGGACAAGAAATGCTGAGGGGTCAAGGAAGGAGAGAATGCCAAGCTGAAGTCAGGGAGGATGTGATTTGTCCCTGGGAGTTTTCATTCATTTGGTCAACAACAGTTTCTTTGGCACAGCTTCTTCCAGTACTTCAAAGCAGCACATCATTTTGATCGGCTGGAATTGGATCACTGGCCTAACCAGTACTGCTTGGCCTCATCTGCCCTGTTTTCCATGTTGTTGGACAGCTGAGAAAATCCTATATTTCCAGAAAACTACCATCATCGCTGCCACCTGTCCTTTTGTCCCAATACATAATGATCTGCTCATACCTTTCCACATAAAATCTATATATTGATTAGACTTAAGAATTGAAATGACAGACAACCATCTACACGACTGCCAAGGAACAAGGCTTGGCACAATGGCAGGTACATTGCTTCTCAGCACTAGACAAATTCCTCACTCCATATCTCTAGGAGTCCCTGAGTTTCTTCCAAACTTAGCAGAGCTATTTCAAATGGGAGAGTTCTTAGGGGTCTCGAGATATCACCATTTTTCCCAGCTACCATATCATGAGAGATGGTGAACCAGGTAAAGAATTTAAAGTGCCTCTACAGCCCCTCAAGTTTGCATCAGAACTGATGTATGGGGGGAAACAGTGGCGCAATGGGTGAGTCACAGAGTACAGTGCATACGCACTTAGGGATCGTAATTAAAAAAATCCTTTCTAAGAACTGGATGACACCAACCTTGAAGTCCTGAGGCCACATGAAACAGAGTCAGAGGAAACCCGTGACCAATTTCCTCTATCCATTCTTTAATATTTTAGCAGTTCTTCCGGCCATAAAAGTAAGTATGCAGGGTCCCCAAAGGATCTGAAGCTCTGAAGCGCAGGAGCCAGAGCTGTATACGGCAAGGTGGGGACTTCAGTGTTCCTCTTTCTGTCTTTGGCTTCGCTTTTGACTATTCTGGATACTTGAAGAAAACATTCTGCCCATGCCCCGTGGAAAACACATGTTGTAGAAAAAAGTATGCGTGAATTTCATTTTGTTTGTGTGTGTACCAAGAAAGGATGTTGGGTCTAGTGATTGAGATGCTGACTGGAGCACCTGCATCTTGGATCAAGCGCCTGGGTTTGAGCCTGGCTGCACGCCCAATGGCAGTCTGCCAGCTCTGGGTAGCCATGGTGGGCATCCAGGGGGGTGAGCCAGGGATGGAGTGCAAGTGCTCTCTCTTTCCCCCATCTCTCAAATAAATCATAATTGACAAACATTTTTTGCGCCAAATTAAACATGGTTTAACTCCATTCTCTGCTAACTTTTTGTACTACTCCCATTCATGGTTCAGCCACCTATGTTTAATGGTGCTTTGCTTTAAATTTACCCGTCAAGTTTCTTATGATTCCTTCAGTACTAGACGTGTTTTTTGGTTTTTATCTTTCTTTGAGAAGAACTGCTGCTGGTAAGAAGATAAACCCCATTTTACACTAAGTGGTATGCTAGGAGCTTTCTGAACATTCTTTTATTTAATTTTCTTCTTAAAAATAGGGAGTTGGGAATGACAATTTGTTAGGGAAGGAGAATCCAAGAGTCACATGCCCACCTAGGAATTAATTCACCCTGTGCCTGCAGTGCACCCAGTGCTTTAGGTGACATGCCTGTGCCCTCTTAACAAATACTTGTTGAATAAGTGAGTCAACAGACACATGAACTTAGCTCAACCTCACAATCACTCTCAAGGTGTATACTATCATCATATCCATTTTATAAGAAGACAGACTGTCTAGTGAGTCTCACCAGTATGCACTAGCAGTAATGATAAATTAGATGAGGTTTTTGATGTAGCCCAGTCTGACTCAAATCCAGGATTCTTGCCACTCTACTATTCTGTCTAGAAAGCAAATGCTAGAAGCAAAGTATCCATGATGCCTTTGCTCCTTTGCTGTCAAAAAAAATTTTTTTTTAATTTATTTGAGAGGCAGAGAGGCCCAGAGAATGAGGCTGTCTCATCTGGGGGTCCCTACTCCAAATGCTCACATTAGCTGGGGCTGGGTCAGGATCAAGCTCCACAGCCAAGGACTCAACACAGATGCCACACGTGTCCCATCTACTTGAGTCATCACCTTTGCCTCTTGTGATCTGCATCAGCCGGAAGCTAGAGACGGGAGTCAGAGCCAGACCTTGACCTCAGGTCCTCTGCTAGGCAACACAGGCATCTCCCCCTGCAGCCTCACCACTAGGCCAAACGCCTGCCACCACTCTCCCTTTCTAAGCACTAATGCATACATTTATATGAACAGATAGCCTTCCCTCACAGCATAGAATTCACATCTGAGACAGGGAGTTAGGAAATCACAAAGCATGATACTGATTGGGAGAATGAAACAGAACATTATGAAACATGACCTAATTGTTCAGTCATGTCCTGCATTGTCCAAAATTGGCCAGGAACAGGAGGATAGCCAAGGAGAGGGAGATAAACAGATCTTGCTTGGGATGAGCAATCTCATTTCTAGCCTTTCTGATTCCTAGGAGAGATTAGGACACTGAGTGGACTCTAACACTCAGGGAGAGAAAGAGCTGGGGACGGGGTCAGGGCCCAAGGAATAGTTACACAAGCACTTCAGCAGGGAATTAAACTGTACCGTATGTTTTTGCTTTTCAAAGCACGATTCCCTTTCCTGTTTTTGTTATTCTGAAATCAAAAACATTTGGCCAGTGTGCCAGGCAGCAAGAGCGGCAGACAGCCCAGGTCACTGACACCCCTCATGCCATGCCAGGGAGGGCAATCTAAACATCTCTGGCTTCAGAAAGTCACGGCCACACTTTGCACTCAATACCAAAGTAGTGTATCACCGTTACACATGCTGACTTGTTAGGACTGTCCCAAAGTTAACAAAGAAAAAAAACCCACAGGAACCAGAGGTAATGACTTAAAAATGAAGTTAGTGTGTTCATGACCTTGCCTGCTGCTTTTGTGGAGGGCTTTTACACGACACTGCACAGGGAACTGTTGGCTTTCCTTACTGCTGGATCAGGGGAAGGTGCCATGTATGACTAAATAATACAAGAAGCAAAGGCATGGTTCTCCTAAAACACTGAAAATATAAAGCCTACCACAACTGATTTGATGCAGCTACTAAGAGAGACACTGCCTACTTGGGAGGGGGGCACACTGACTCAATATTCATCCTCTGCCTGCCAATGCCAGTGTCCCAAATTGGCACTGACTCTAGCCCTGGCAGCTGCACTTATGATCCAGTACCCTGCTATGGCCTGGGAAAGTAGCAGAGGATGGCCTAAAGTCTTGGTACCATCAGAAACCTGGAAGAGGCTCCTGGCTCCTGGCTTCGGATCAGCTCACCTCTGGTCACTGTGGCCATTTGTGGAGTGAACCAGCAGACAGAATATTTCTCCCTCTGTTTCTCTTTCTCTCTACAAATCTACCTAACAAATACAAATAAATCTTTTTTAAAAATACAATGCATAAACACTTGATCCCATAAAATAAAAGGGCTAACAATTTGCTAAAAGATGGAGAGGATGATTTCTCTCTTTTAATATAATTACTTTAACATTGTGCTAAATAAGTAGTCCCTATTTATAGCTAAGACTATAACTTTATCAAAATTGCACATCCAGCTTTTAAAGAGCCTCTTCTGCAGATCATTCCAACCAGTAGTCTCCTTGAGATTTCCTTCACAAAGTGACCAGACTTTCCCAGAATCCTCTATCTAACCTCAGAATCAGTGTGATTTTTCTTCTATCTGTGTATTTGAAATGTAGAATCACACATACACACAAAAGGAGAGAGAGAGGCAGACCTCCCATCTGCTGATTCACTCCCCAAAAGCATATAACAGCTGGTGCTAGACCAGGCTGAAACCAGGAGCCCAAAAATCAATCCAGCTATCCCAGCTGGGTGACAGGATAGGGACTCCAGTACCTGAACCATCACCTGCTGCCTCCAAGGTTACACATTAGCAAGAAACTGGATCTGAAGCAGAGCAGCGACTGAAACCCAGGCAAGCAATGTAGGATGTGGGTGCTCCAAGTGGTATACTAACTGCTATACCAAATTCCTGACCCAATTACTATGATTCTTCTCTCAGTGTTTCATGCTTAGCAGTTTGGAGCAGGCGGGAAGACATGCCAATGCCAAAAGAACAGCACATGATGTGAACTGGGGTCATCCTGATTTCCCATGCCTTCCCCATGTCCCTAACACCAAAGCAAGAGTCGATTCCCAGGACCTGAGGCCCGTACAGCATTTAGCCCTGCAACACTTCACTGTGCTCCTTATTTTACACTTCCTAGGACTGCAAAATACACTTCAGGAGTTTCGTCCATGAGGCCACTGGAGCTGAGAGAACTTCAGGGACATGCCCACCATCCCAGCTTGTAAGTGCACGTGCCAGGACACAAAGTCTGTCATGCCCCGTGCTGATATTTCAACCTCCACACTGACGCTCTCCATCAGGAGAAGCCAGAGATCAGCTTCCTCTGAAAAGTGAAAAATAACTGGGAGAGCTTAGAAAGTTCAAAGAGACAGAAACTTGAGAAAAACAACACATAGAAACCCAACTTAAATCACTGCCATTCGTCAAAACAAAGACATGCTTACAATAACTTTCAGGTTTCCCTTCACGTCAAAAGACTTGATCACCCAGTTGACAGACTTCTTGCACTTCAAGATGAGGATGAGATTTCTGACCACCTCGGGATGCTCACGAGAGGGTCTTATGTCAATTATTATATCCACCTGGAAAGCACTGGGAAGAGCAAACAAAGGCGAAGTTAGGACCCACATGCCAGGAAGTTGCAGCTCTCTCCCCTCTTCCAAGTCTTCGTGTTTCTAGTGTCTGGCCAGCTGATTAAAAAGTTGGAGTTGATCCTGGGCAAGTGACATGTGCAGAACAGATTGTTATTGCATACAAAACAAAATGATTTTACATAACAATGGAAACAAACTCCTGCTGATCATTAGCCAGGGATGCTTCTTTCCTCTTCTTTGAGAAAGCAACACCAAAATCAAGGTGGTTCCTTGACACAGGCACCATCAGAAAGGGACTTGGACAAACCAGAAGATAGACTTACTAAGGCAGAACTGTCGCTTTTGCTATCCAGCCTCTTCAGTGCAACTACATGCTCAGATACTCCTCCAAAACCAGAGGCAGACAGAACTTTGGTGTGTGGGTGGGTGGGGCTGGGGAGGGAGGGCTGTGATTAGGGGGGAATCACACTAATAAAAAACTTGGAAACTTCAAAGTTAGAGGCAAAGAGACTCTTGGCTTCTCTCAGGTTTGCTCAAACCATTTACAACTGCTGCAAAATCCTATCTGCATTTACTTTTCCCCAACTTCTGGATAGACAGTTATGAAAATAAAGAAAACAGATGGTCAACCGAGTAATTGCTAGAAAAGCAATGACCACCCCCACCCCCAACTTTTAAGAATTCCGTGTAGAAGGGAATTTCTTACTAAACAATATCTCCATGGTTCTAAACTTAAGGAAACGGTCTTTATTTTCATCTTGGTTTTATGTGCTTGCAAAGCATAAAATGAACAATGAACTCAAATGAAGCTGTGGGCTTCATAGCTAAGCATATGTGCCAGACTGCTTCCAGTTTTCATTGCCTTTGAATTTACCACACAACTCCTCATGTGGGATAGAATGGAATCCTACCAAAATGAATCTTCAGTTTACTCACTTCTGAAACCAAAACCTCATTCGAATTTTAACTCTGAAACCCCTCCACAACGTACACATTAACATTTTGAAGTCATCAGTGCCCATGAGATGTAGGCTACAGTGAGAGAAGGAACTTTTCCTCTTTTCTTAATTCCTGAATTATTCTCAATAGGGAGGGTCACATTTCCAGTCCAGGGGTAGGACACTGAGATGGTGACAGGAATGCAGGAGGAGATGAGTTCTTTCTCATGGCAACTTGGTATCTTCAAGTCTCCGTGAAAGGCCACTCCACCTCTCTCTTTCTCTCTCTCTCTCTCTCTCTCTCTCTCTCACACACACACACACACACACACATAGCTTTAAAGCAAACAGTTCTAAGTGTACACGTGCTCCAAGGACACAATGAATAAAACTTCATTAAGATCAGAACGTTCCAGAAATGGAAATTATGCTAATAAGGCACATTTTGTGATTTTCTTATCAGAGATAACCTCAGTCAAGGAGGATCATGAAGGTACAAGAGGGATAGTGTCCTATATAATACTGACAAGTCCAGAACAGACTTCTGCAACCCAGCTGGAATACAGAGGATTTGCAGACAGCTGCAGAATATGAAACATACCACTAGTGCCTATGTTCCCTCCTCAAAACTTTTGTGCACCACACCCAAAGTACTATGAGTTCCCTGACCACTGACACAGGGACGACAGCATTGCTCCTTGCCACCAGCCAGAAAATGAAAACAAAAAAACAAAAACCTTGGACTGTTTTCTTCTCTTGGGTTCAAAACAGAGCCTGATTCCACTTTTACTCTCTTACCTGTAGGGGTTGGAGTTGGGGGTGATCAGCTCGATGATGTGCACTTCCTTGTCCTGGGGCTGGCTGGCCATCACACAGCCTTCCGCTGCTTTGGGCTGCAGGTACTCGGCAAGGTAATTGAGGGAGAGAAAATTCTTCCCTATGTTGCATGTGGGAGGGAACACTTGATCTGAAAGGAAAGCAGCACAGGGCAGTCTGTGAGTCCACTGAGCTACCTGGAGCCAGTATCCAAGGAGGGGATGCTAGGGACATTGAACAGATGCAAGATGGTGAATCCAAAGACTAAAAGTGGGTCTTTATCTGTGGCTGCCCTGACCATGGTCACCAGTGACATCCTTATGCCCAACTCTAGTGGCCTTTTTAAAACTAAGTCCTCTCGTCCTTTCCTTTCTTGTCCTCATGCATTTCCTTTAACCTTTCTTTCAGACTGTTCCACTGGCTCCCTGTCCTCGGCTCATCTTTTAAACACTGATGGTCCTCAATCTTTAGTGCATGTCACAATGCACCTGCTTGGACCCCATCCCAAAGAATCTGATTCAGGACATCCGGGAGGAGGAGGAGGCAACTTGCTTTCTCTTTTGAAAACCCCATTGTTGATCCCAATGTAAACGAAGGCTAACAATCTTAGCTCCTTCCTCTTTTTGTGTCCAGTTTTTCCTATGATATCAGTCACTCCTCTGGCTGCCACTTTATCTAGACTGTGACTCCTCTCCTGAGCTGCAGACTTGGACTTTCATGTGTCTACCAAGCAACTCCTCCATGAAACTCCAACAGGCATTCCACGATCAGCATAGCCAGCACAAACCCCATTCTTTCTCCTTTCCTTATCTGTCATCAGCTCTCACAGAATATGCACCTGCAGACTCAATCCACCAGCAGCTTGAAAATGTTTGGAAAAAATAATGCATCTATAGTCAACATGTACAGGCCTTTTCCCTCGTCATTAATCCCTAAACAATGCAGTTTAACAACTATTTACATCGCATTTACACTGTGTCGGGTATTATCAGTAATCTAGAGATGATTCAAAGTACATGATGGAGAGAGTGCACGTGTATATGGTTTAGGCAAACACTACACTCTTTTACATAAGGACTTGACTATTGTTGGATTTAGGCATCCACAGGGGAGGAGCTGGAACCAACTCCCTAGAGACACCAAGAGACACCTGCATGCTCCTCCTTGCCTACTTGCTCTCTCAGCTGGAGAGCCAGCCACCTAATTCCATCTCTAGAGCAGCCTGTAGAATCATTCCAGCATAATTCCTCCTCACAGCACCATATACTCTAAAGTTTAAAGGCAGGCATTTGGGAAAAGCAGAGAGAGAGAGCAGAATTATACTCTCTTCTACAACCTCGACAGAGACAACCAACCCATGTTCACACAGCACTTTATGGTTTACACGGTGCCTTCACAAACACTTTCTCGCTGTGCTGATGGCCACCCACCACCTGCCCCCAGGAAAGTGATATGAGCAGCCGGAGCCTGAAGACACACTCCTCACTTCACAGCAACACCACTGACTGAGGCAGCGCTGGGGTAGACTGAGCTTCCAGAAGGAGGTTTAAACATTTAAACAGAACTTGGAAAAACTGCTGGCAGTGTGACAACAGGGCATAGTGCAGGGAAGTTCTAGATGCAGCAAGTTTTTTTTTAAGGAGTAATTAATCAGAGACCTGGCACTTCAATGAAATGGACTTCTGCCTTGGCCGTTTTAAAGGCAGGATGCCAGGTTTCACATCCACAGCAGAGTCTCACTAGGGAGTAAGGAATTAGTCCAGGAGGCTCCAAAAAGGGATTCATGCTGCCCCCTCTCCAACTTGTGCCACCTGCTGTGCAGACGCTTACAACAGACACTGGCATTATAGCCCTGGCCACAAAGGCACTAGGACAGAGAGAATGAGGGCAGTTCACAAGGCTTCTGGTTTTACAGGGCATTACAGGTGCACACGTGTTGGCTCTGTGTTCTGCCTTATTTGCTAAAATCCCCAGAGAAGAGAGCTCGAGGCCCCACTGGCTCTGCCGGCAAAGCCGCCCTCCTCCACATCTGCTGAGGGCTCAGCCAGATGCTCAGATGAGGTATGCACACTGTGCAGCTGCAGCCCCACAAGTGCTTCCCCAGAACACAGGATGGAAAATGATACTGGGAGGGCAGGGCTGAAATGTAATCAGGAATTCGAAGGTGTGTTTATGGGCCAGGGAGCACAAGAGACTAGAGCCCCCTGGGACTAGGGCCTGCAGATCCCATTCAATGGTGTGCCTGGCTGGTATCTGGCATGTGTAGGCTTATGGCATGGCGTTGCTGAGTTAATAAGAAATCGATGAGAGACTGGAGACAAATAGTAGACAATGTTTAATTGTCCGAAAGTTGCCATTTTGGACTCCATTTCCAGATGTGCAACTATCACTACGTTGTATAAGCTGCCTGGTGTGTGGGTGTGCGTGAGGAGTGGGTTTCCCCTTTCCCAGAAATGACTTTCCACATACCTGGCAAACTTAACATCAAGTGTCAAGTACAAAGCAAGCCACAAAGGGGGAATTCCTGGAGCTGTTTTGGGACGGGGAGTCACATGCTCCTTTGTATTTTAGGAGAAGATTAACTGATGTGTTGCACCCTAAAGTGATATGCCTGCAGGTAGCTGTGAGCCCAAGAGGCAAGACCTTTCCCATTGTGGAAACAGGGGCTCTGGTGGGGAATCCGAGGCTACTTGTCTCAGGGGTAGCAGGACCAGCTGGGGTAAGAATGGAAACTTGTTGATTTTTCCACCCTAGGTCAGAATGGGTCTTGGAAGTTGGTCACAGTCAGGACTACCTGGAGCACCTGTTCAATTACTGATGTCACCTCTACAGTTTTCTGGTTCAATTGGTATAGGCCGGGCCCCAGAACTGGCATTTCTAACCAGCTGCCAGATCAGGCCAAGGCTGTTGTGGTGAGAACATTTTGAGAACTCATGGGGTTCAAGCAAGATAAAGCTAAAGGCCTGAGACCCCCCCACCCAGGGTACAAGAAGGATAATGAGGGCCAAGTCACGGGAAATTGATGAAGTGCTGACAAACATAACCTGTGATCCAGTACCCTAACTAGAAAACCTTCTTTTCCTAACTGCTCTCCTACACGGTGTGACATATCAACTGGTACCTGGAACCATGGTCTAGGGGCTCCATAGGTTTTTCCTAGGAGTTAATCATATTTTACTGGATGGGGCATCATCAGCTCCTTTGCGCTGGCTTCCCATACCCTGAGTGTAGCTTATTTGGTTACACGACTTTTCTCCTAGCTCTCAGAACTGGTGCCTACTGCTCCCCGAACCTCATATCTGTCCATGGAACACAGTCCAATATTCTGAATACTCCTACAGCAAACTCTGTTCTTCTAATGAATTCCAAGAAGGACCTAGCATTCTTTCAAGTTTGTAGAATGCTGCTTCAGAATGCACACCACTGGCCAAGGCTTAGAATATTTATTAAAAGCGATTTCTCATTTTTGTCTCCATGGACTTGACCTTTCTTCTTCATTACATGGCTACCATGAGAGTTCAGTAACAAAATTTGACTTTTTCCACCCAATTTTCATGTAAAATCCCTGTCTATCCCAGTCAAATCAGTGTTTCCATCCAGGCGGCCCACTTGCATTTTTAAAGTATGCTTATTTGTCTCAGACTTGAAAAGTACAGCGTCAGGCATCAGGCATTGGACTCCAGAGCCAGGAAAGTGGGGTTGAGTTGGAAGCTAGAAATGTGGATTTCAGTAAATTGGGGAAACCCTCCACATTGTCCTCTGTCAAATGGCAGAAACAATGTTTCCCTCCTGGTTTGTGGTGGGTTGAATGGGCTGCATGTGAAAGGCCCTTCTAAGGCCTCTACACAGGCACACACTCTGAGGTCCATGTTCACTCTTTCTCAGTCTGCCACACACACTCTACAAACGACACAGAAAGCACAGGAGCCGCAATCAAACAGTCAGCACCCCATTCTTCTCTGTCACACGGACTGGCGAGGTGTTGGCAACTGCTATGGAATTCAACAGCAAGTGTGGGATGTGGAAAACCTGAAAAGTGGTAGTCACACAGTCACCTGACTACAACAAGTTACTTTCTAGGAACTTATGGGGGGTTCCAAAACATGAGAGTAGTATCAAACTTTCATGGGAAATGAGAACTAAAAGACAGGCTTACTGCAGTGTAAGAAATTTTGAAATACATGCACAAATATCTTAATACATACTTGCTAAGAACTTTCTGAAAGACACACACATACACAACTAGAGACAATGACAAAATCTTATTTTTAAGAAATAATATTTCAAAGTTGTGTCCTAATCCCCTGCAAGGCAATCTCTGAATGAGCCCACAAATAAATTTTTCCTTGGGATCTGTGCTGTGGAACAGCCAGTTAGGCTGCTGGCTGAAATTCTGACATTCCATATGGATGACAGTTCAAGTCCTGGCTGTCCTACTACTGATGCAGCTCCCTGCTAATGTGACTGGGAAAGTAGCTGAAGATGGTCCAAGTGCTTGGGCCCTGCTGTCCCCCATTGAATCTAGAAGTCCTAGACTCCCAGTTTTGGCCTAGCCCTGTTCCACCTTTTGTGGCTATCTGGGAAGTAACTGGAGGATGGAAGCTGGCTCTCTCTCTTTTTCTTCCTCCCTTCCTCCTTCCATCACCCTCTCCTTCATTTCCTCTATAACTTTCAAATAAATAACCTTTAAAATAATAAAAATAATAATACTGTCTTCTTGTAACAGGCATTCGCATTAAACATGTAAACAGCTTTCCTTTGCTAAGTAGTCTAAATTTAATTGGCATCACCTACTGTGTATGCAGAATAATGGCTATAAACAAGCCCTTCTGTCCTGTCCTGTATCCCTCCATCACCACTCAGTTGTCACTCCCTTCCCCCAGCCTCCCTTCACTTCACTCCATTTCTGCACATGCACCTCTTCTACATCCTACCCAGCACCTCCCCACCCACCTCTCAATCACGTCACTCCCCTATTCCTATTTGGTCACTCCAGAAGACAAAGAGCAATGTGTTCAGCACCAGCCCCAAAGGATCTTGCAGGTCCACGCCGGCTCCCGTTCCATGCTGAGATTCTAGGGTTCCTTGCCCTAATCATTTGGTCTCAGAGACCAGCAGCAGACTGTCACAGACCAGTCTGTAAAACTTACCTTCTCCCACTTTAATGTAAATGTTTCTTGCTATCTTGAGTTCAGTGAAGGAAGTAACTGCTCCATACTCCTTTTGGGCCCAGCTTAACAGATGTTCATTTCCATGAGGGAAGTTCTTTTCTTCTGTTTCTGCTGTCAAGGAGAAGTTTCCTGATGGAAACTGGACCACAGAGCCCTCAGACACCTAGAGGAAAGAAGATTGCATATTTAACTTGGCGCCTTCACCTGGACTGAGGTGTACTTAGTGAAGGGGCTGCTCCCCCAACAACGGGATGGTCAGTGGACTCTCTGTGCTTTGTGATTCTGGCGCATGGTCCCTTTTCTGCGGCTGTTCCAGACAATAAGGCCAAGTTCACTTCTTCCGGCTAACAGCAAGGCTCTCTATGTGGCTTGTCCCTAGGGCTCTGGCAGGTTTCTGCGATGACAGACTGCGTCACACTCTGTGAGTAGTCATAGGACTCACCTTTGTTGTTTTCCATCTCTCTATAATGAAGGCCAACTTGGCACTCCATTTATGTGACTTTCCCATTGGTGGATTCAACCAACACAGAATGAAAACATGCAGGGAAAAAAAACCCCACATTTTTGTTGAACATATGCAGACTTTTTTCTTATCATTATTCCTTAAACTACTTAGTATAAAAACTAGTTACACAGAATCCATGGTATATATGTAAGTTAAAGATGATTCAAAGTATACAGTAGGATGTGCTCTCATTATATGTGACTGTAATGCTATTTTATATGAAACCTGAATATCCATAGATTGTGATATCCACAGGGATCCTAGAATCAGTGTCCCTTCAGACAAGAAGGATCAAGTGTCACGTGTTACAAGTGAGAAGTGTTAGCGAGTGTCCTCATAGGTTTGTAATGGGCTGCAGGATCAAGGCAATGAACCCCAAAGTCCTGCTCGCAACTGACCATGACTTCAAATCTTTCCCTGGTGGCAATCCCTGTCAACAGAGTTACAACAAGGATACAGTAAGAATCCTTTTGATTTAGGTTCTCCTGAGTAGATAAAAAAGAATGGTCAAAGATTGCTAATCTTCTATAAGCTTCTAGATTTGGATGCAGGAAGATGACTGCATATCACAGTATACAACCATCTATTTTGTAAGATTCCCAAGTTACTAAAGAGAACAGAATCAAGAGGCTTTTGGACAATCTTAATAACAATTTTAGGATGGGTCAAGCAAGCGCCATTTAAAGTACACAGATCACTGTTAGCACAGGCTGTGTGAATATAATTAACATACACACAGGAGGAAAATCATCTTGCTGCTATACAACAATCACATTCAGCTGCTGGTAAAAATGTGCATGTCATCAACTAACATTACAAAACATGGTTGATTTTATCAGTGTCTAGGTGAAACCTCAAGACTGGGCATTGAAGCTCACAAATCTCCAAGTGATACAATCCTAAGTGTCTTCTACATTAAGCTTCACATTAGCAGTCTATTCTGAATGAAAAGCAAGCAATTGCAAAGGGCATTCAGTAATCTGACAAAAAAGCAAGCTAAGAGATTTTGTTAATGGTTTTAACTGCTAATAGCAATGTTTTCGACCTCAACACATATACAAAACTGTATTTGCCCAGCTACTGTGCCGGACAGTGACACGTCAGCGCTAGCAAAGAAGCACTTCACTTAACTGATTCCATGTCTTTCTAATGCTGTGGTTGTCTCTTGTTTGAAGACTAGAATCATCTACAGAATGTGTAAATGTCTTATGCCCAGGCTACCTCCAACCCAACTAGAATCTTTGGGGCAGGCCCTGAGTATCAGAGTTGTTTCATGCTGCCCGGGTGATTGCAGTGTTCAGGCACACGTGAGATCCCTGGCTTGACAGGCACTGCAATACCCCATGGTTGAACAGCACTGATAAGGGAAAGGCCCAGTGTGGGGTACCTCACACCAGTGGCTCTTAATCAGGGGTAATTATGTCCCCAGGAGACATTTTGCAGCAACTGTCTGGAACATTCTGACTGCCAGGAGGGTCATGCTGCTACCATTCACGGAACACAAGCCAAAGAAATGGCTGCACATTTGACAAGGTGTTGGATTGCAGATAACACCTGACGTGTTGTGCCCCCTATGTAAGGAATTCCCCAAAATGTCAACCTTGTAGAGACAGAAATCTTGTTCTACACTTTAGACCAATCAAATGTTGACTGCTGAGTGGGAACCTGCAAACTGACTGTCCTTTCTATGATGGAAATCAGGCTTGCCCATCATTACCTCATAAGATTCAAGCATGATGGCTCAGTGGCTAAAATTCTTGCCTTGAATGTGCCAGGATCCCACATGGGCATTGGTTTGTGTTCTGGCTGCTCGGCTTCCCAACTAACTCCCTGCTTGTGGCCTGGGAAAGCAGGACAGGATGGCTCAGAGCCTTGGGACCCTGCACCCACATGGGAGACCTGGAAGAGTTTCCTGGTTCCTGGCTTCAGATCAGCTCAATTTTAGCTGTTGCAGCCATTTGGGAAGTAAACCAGGGGACGGATGGTCTTTGTCTCTCTCTTTCCTCTGTATAAATCTGCATTTCCAATAAAACTATATACATATTTTTAAAAAAGCATAAGAGGGTCTTTCTGGTTTGCATTGGCTTGGGAGGCCCAGATTAAGTCCTTATTGTGAATAGGAGGCAAACTATTTTCCAACAGGAACTTACTGTTCAATGAACGCCATGATCTGTTATCAAGGATGGGAATAACAGCTTCCCAGTGTCACTCTGACCTGGTTCTGATGTGACCTCCACATCAAAAGCTCCCAAACCCTGTTCCTGCCCCACAACAACCATGTCCTCCCAAGGGTAACTCCTGCGCAGCTCAATTTCTCATCAACGCTGAACCTCAAATAATGCTTATCTGCTTTCCTGGTTTTAGCTCTGTGACAAGTTTCTCGCTGAAAAGCGCTTGTTCAAAAAAGACACTTTGATCAGGCATGTCCCTGGAGGCTGGGAGGGAGGGAACCCCATAAGAGGGGCCAGTGTTGTAACACAGTGGATAAAGCTGCTGTCTGTGGTGTCAGCACCCCATATGAGCACTGTCAGCTTTGAGTCCTGTTTCTGATCCAGCTCCATAATAATGTGCCTGGGAAAGCAGCAGAAGATGGCTCAAGTGTTTGGTGGGCCCTGCCACCCATGGGGGAGACCTGAATGAAGCTCTAGGCTCCTTCCTGGCCCAGTGCTGGGCATTGCAACCTTCAGGGGAGTAAACCAGCACCTGAAAGGGGAAGGTAGGGGCGGTGTCTGTGTGTGTGTTTCCAATTTTCAAAATATATAAAATGAATCTTAAAAATAAAAAATGAAACCCACACACTCCGATAGTCCTGCAGCCTCTCTATCCTATGGCTAACACAGCCAAAAGTGCGGGACAGTGTCTCTGAACACTCTGCCTCTTTGTTCTCCTCTATGATGCAGCTGTGAAGCAGAGCACAGGGTTTTAGGCACCACATGCTAAGAGCTCCTGTCTGCAAGGGGAAAGGTGAGAGATGTAACCCATTGGTGCATGGCAGAGGCAAGGAGGCAGGCAGTGTAAGAGAAGAAATCAGGAGCAACTTGGGAGCATGGCCTGAGGTCATTGGCAGTGAGGCCGTGCTGGAGCTGGAGCATTCGAGAAGGGGCAGCTCCTGCTAGGGCCTGCATGCCCATCACCTCTGCTCCCAGGCGGCAGCAATGAGCACCACACGCTCAGGTTCCAACCCCTCCTCAGGCACATTCCAGCAGGAAGAAAGAGAAGTTGCCAGGGGTGGCGAGGAAATCCCAACTGCAGGTCAGTGGGAATTTCCTGATCAAGCAAGTGGCTGGTTAGTACCCAACTCTGTAGGCTCTGAGACAGAGGCCTTCCCTCTCCTGCTGAGTTTCAGAAGGCCGTGGCCAGGTCTTCGCTGGTTCTCAGACCCAGAAGGCTGGCTATGATGACTTCCACAGGACAGACGAGGAAGCCTTTGAGAGACTGGTAGAATTGGCACTGGGCAAGACCGGGACATGACACCGTTAACCCAGCTGCAACTGGCTTCACTTGACAACCTCCCAGAAAGGAGACCTTACTCACTCCCAAGCCAGAAGATTTCTGTCTGTGTTTCAAACCATAAGATGTGCCTTCTAGGGCTGGCACAGTGACAAAGTAGCCTAAGCTTCCACATGTGGGTGCAAGTTTCACTTCCAGTCCAGCTCCCTACTTACTGCCTGGGAAAGCAGCAGAGGTCGGCTCAAGTGCTTGGGTCCCTGCACCCACATGGGAAACCTGGAGGAGGCTCTTGCTTCCTGGCTTCGGATTAGTTCAGCTTCAGCTGTTGCAACTATCTGAGGAGTGAACCACTGGATGGAAGATCTCTCTTTCTGTCTCTGTCTCTCTTTCTCTCTGTAATTCTACCTTTTAAGTAAGATAAAATGAAATCTTCAACATACAATAATAAAAATATATTTGCTTTCTACCCAGTATGCAAAGAAAATTCTTTCCTTTCATCACCCTTCCATGATGCAACTCCCCACTGATGCAACTTGGGAGGGCTGTGGAAGATGGTCCAAGTGCTTGGACCCCTGCCACCCAAGGAGACCTGGATGGCATTCTTGGCTCCTGCTTTCAGCCTAGACCAGTTTTGGATGATGAGACCATTTGGGGTGTGAACCAGTAGATAGAAAAATCTGTCTTTCAAATAAACAAAATAAATCTTTAAGGGAAAAAATTTGCAGACATAGGATATAATAACAGCAAGACACATAAAAACATGAAATAAAATTCTTTTTCTATGAGAAAGGTTTGTAATTATTATTGTATGGAAACCACATATGCATATAGGGAAAACCCACTTCTTCTCTGTGCTCAAATCCTCTCAATGATTCTCTTCCATACGTAGTGAAAGGGAAGTAGTCTTTTTCTCACACCAACCAATGCTGCAACTCTCAGACTTGAATTAATGCCTATCATTCAATTTAACTTGGACTCAGTCTATCTCTTCTGCCTGTAGGCAGTGTCAGATTTCACAGATGGAGGCTCACTCAGCACCACAACACTGTCCCTACTTAGACACTAGGTGCAGGTGCACGGTGTCACTTCTGACTGTCTACAGTCAAGGGTCCCCAGGACCTGCTTCCTCAGCTTCAGTTGTTGGCTAAAAAGGCTCAAAGCCTCAAGGATATACCCTACTGGCATCTACCTGTGTCTGATAGAGGAGA